CCCACGGCGGGCCGAGGCGCCGGCCGCCATGTTGGAGCGGGGCAGCGCGCCGGGCGGGGCGGGCGCGGCCCGGAAGGGGAAGCGCCGCGCTGCCACTTGGCCGTGGGGCAGCGGCCGTGAGGGAGAGGTGGCGGCGCCGGGTCCCCTCGGCCCCGCCTGAGCCTGCCCGTCCTGAGGAGCCGCCCGCGTGCTTGCTGTCCCCAGCCCTCCCTCCCGCCTGCCCCGGGAGCAGCACGGTGCGGGTGGAAGTTCCCCCGCCTCAGGTGAGGGCCGGGCCCGCCTGCCGGGGCCGAGCCGCTCCCGCAGCCCCGGCCGGGGGCCGAGCCGGCCGCTGCCGCCCGCAGAGAGAGACATGGCTGAAAGGCTCTCCTGGGAGCTCCGTGTCTGCACGGGTTAAGGCGTGCGGTGGGGAGAGGCGGAAAAGTTGCTGTTGGATTTCGCTTCAAGGGAGCGGACAGAAAGCGGCGAAATGGATGACTTCCCCTCCATCTGCCTACTGTCCCTGGCCATGCTGGTCGCCTGCTATGTGGCAGGAATCATACCCTTGGCAGTTAATTTTTCCGAGGTAAGACAAACTGCTCGTTCGTTGCTAAAGGAGAAACCCGGGAGATCTCCCAGCAGGAGGTGGTGCCGTCCCCCTGCTATACGGCAACGCTGTTAAGGACGAAGCTTTACCTTTAAAAGTTATAAGCACAATATTAATTTTCGTTCAAAACTGCCGTGTAAAATTATGCTTGTTTCACAGTGGTCATTTAAACTTGTCAAATTTGAGTCGAATTTCTGCTACAGGTGAAGCAAAGTCTCAGCACATAGTGTAAGGACACGAATAAGTACGGCTATTCTTAGAAGCTTGTGTAAGAAATGGCTGAAGTCAGTGATTAGCTCTTACGTGCCTGTGGGCTGCTCAAATTAAGGCTTTTAAAAACAATTCCAAGAATATTCTCAGAAAAACTTTGATTCGCAATTTTACTCACAGCTTGCACTGTTGAAAATTAAACCTTAGCTCTTTAATTACTATAGAGCTTCAAGTTCTGCCTCGTGTAACTCAAGGCATTCTTTCAGGAAAATATCTTGGATAAATAAGGTACTGTTAAAGGAGAGGGAGGGTTTCAGAGATTGGGTAAGTTCCCAAACAGTACAGGAGTTCCTGATTAAACATCTTTGTGTACTTCTAAGAAATAGTTGTTATCCTCCAATATCCGAGGGGTTTTGCTCTTTCTAAATGATGGTTGTTTTATAGAGGCGTGGTGTAGTGAGGGTTTAGTTGTGCTGTGGTAGTAAGAGCCCTCTTCTGAGGGGTTCCCATTCTCTTGGGAAGCAAGGTGCTGAAGGAGAAGTGTGCCTTTGTCTTCCATCAGGTCAGAGGGCTGCGTGGAGTGTTAGCACTGCTTACTGTGTTGCTCGTTTTTTAACATGTAAATGTATTTAGCAGAAATGGTTTGCTTTCTCATATAAAGGTGTATTCCTTTTGCCTCTTTGTGTAAGCTGTTCTTATTGAATTTCTGTCTTCACTACACTTAGCTATTTTGTACTGAAAAGGAGATGGAGACTTACCTTCAAACGATAACTTGTTCTTTTAATGGATCTTTAAAATTCACAGGTGCCCAAGTGAAGGCAAGCTATACTATGTATTTGCAGTTGTAATAAATCAGTATTCTGACACTTTCCTCTGTGTTTATGTGTGTATGAAAAGAATATTGCAGTGTTGCAGATAAAAATAGTGTTTTTTCCTTGTATGTTACTATATTTTTGCAGAATTACTTTATGAACAGCAGATGTTAACAATTTATCTTCTCGTGTAGATTACCACTGTATGACAGTTTACCAAGTGTAATTACTGTATGTGCAAGTATACAGTGCATGTTTGTGGGAACTTTACACTTGTTTTCATCTCTTGCATGTTACTGTTGGAGTTTTCCCCAGCAGTGCTGCAGTTGTTCCCTTATGGTCACGTTTGGCTTGCTTTCAGGAAGCTGGTTGTGCTTCTGCTAGTGCCTCCTGCTTCTTCTGGGCAAGTGCTGCACATTCAGTGAGACTGAACAGTTTGTGTGGTTACAGTGGATGGCATAATAATGATATGCAACAAGTGGTTTCCTGCTATTCACATGCTGACCTCTGTCCCTAGGTCCTCAGTAGTTAACATTAGTGTTTTGGCAGTGCTCAGACTTCTCATTGAACGTGGAAGATGATGATGATTCTTCCACTGGATGTGTGCTGCCCAGTTTTTAGGAGGATCTAAACCCCCATGTTGCTGCATGTTATATGATAGGGGTTCTTACAGGAGTTGAGTAATGGCCTCTGGCAACTGCTGTATTTTAGACCCTGTTTTATGTAGTTGGATTTTAGTATGTGGCTTTGACTTTAGCCTGTTAGCATAGTCAGAAGGATGAATTTATTGGTGGAACAGAATGTAATTAGTTTGAGAGGAAGATATATCTAAGCTTTTTGCCCCAAACTAGAATATAACTAGGAAGATAGCAAGTGCTGAAAAACTGTGTGTGGTTTTTATTTTTGTTATAGAAATTATTCCAAAAATATGAATAAAACTATTATTCTTTACTGTAAAAACATTAGGTTTATCTATTGTTGTTAAGGTTTAATTGCAGCTTCTCAATGTTTATGTAACAAGTAACCCCCTTCCCCAACATCTGTTAATAAAATTTCATTCTTAAAGATGATACTTGTTTTGTGCAGGAGAGATTGAAGTTGGTGACTGTTCTGGGTGCTGGGCTCCTGTGCGGAACTGCCTTGGCTGTCATTGTGCCAGAAGGAGTACATGCACTTTATGAAGACATTTTGGAGGGTAAGAACCAAACCCAGATGGCCTCATTGAAGATAAATTAGCTTGTAGTGTGTTATGATATACTGAGGCTTCTTTTTGGAGTTTTTAAGAAGAGATTGATGGAAGAGCTTCACAAAGCAGGCATAGAAATGCAAAACTGCCATAGACATGATATTGCACGTTGAGGGATATGATCAGACTGCAGATTGATGACTCTTGCTGAGTTATCTGATCATTTGTGGGTCTGGATACTGTACTGTTCTGTGTGTCTGGATACTATACTGTTCATGGAATAACAGCCTTTTATGACAGGTCATGTGTAGTGTTTCTTATTCTGGAGAGTTTAGCTTCCACTGGAACTTCAAAGGAAGTGTAAGGGTGCCTTTGGCAGAGAATGAAATTATGGAGTATTGGCTGCTTCTCTTTGTAGTTCAGACTGCTTCTCATTAAAGCAATTGCAGGAGGTGTTTTACAAATCTATGTCCCTGTCCTAATAAGAATTTCTTCTGAAGCTGAAAAGCATCTTGGAATTAATGTACTTAGCTGAAAATTATGGTTATATATTATGTTTATATAGCCTTATGGTTCTGGTTAATTTACAGAGTAGCAGGCATTTCTTCTTGGGTAGTGTTACATTACACATCTAAATCTCTGTGTTCAAGCATCCAGTTTTAGTCTGCTGTGACTGTTGTAGCCACCTCATCATCTCTAATGACGAGCTCAAAGTGAGCAGAGATTGTGTCTTGCAGGGATGTTTGTGTGGAGCATGTCTTGCAGCCAAAAGCCTTAACAGACCTTAAACTGAGGTTATGCCATTGTCTCGAATAGCCAGGGCTCATCACCTCTGTTTGGAGTGCACTTTAAATTTTGCTTTTGCTTGCAGACTTGTGCTATTTAGATGGCCCTTGCATGTATGAGATTTTTCCAGTACACTCAGAATCTAAACTCTGAAGGTAAACAGCAATGGTTTACTGATTGCAGGGGAAAGCACTGTAAAGTTGATGCTGTAGAGAACCTTGCAAACATCTGGTGTGCTGTCGTTGCTAATCTGGGATTGAGTGGCAACTGTCGTCCTTTGCTTTTCCTGTAGTACTGGGTTTTGTGTTTTTAAACTTCTAAATTTCATTTTAGTAATATGCTTTAATGTATACTGTTTTAGTTTCCACTAAATTTATGTTGCTCTGCTTAGATTTAGAATAAATAGAAGATAATACATAAAATCATCCTTTATCAAGAAGTGAAAGAAGCTGTGATTATGCCTTTTTACTGTACTATAATTTGTGCACTCTGATGTCAGATGTCTCTAATGAGCTGTAGTGGGTTTGCTCTTCATTTAGTTTGAATTCTGGGTAGACTGATTTTCTTTTGTAATGGTACAGCTAGCAGTGAATACAATTGCTGTGAATATTTGTGGATTTTAACACTTTTTCACCAAATGGGGTATACTGTTCATGCATGATTTGACAGCTTGCTGTGTAGAGCTGTATGGGCTGCAACTTTGTGTAGTGTATGCAAAAAGACACTTCACAGTACTGCAGTAGAATTAGCAGAAGTATTTATCTAGGGGAAAAAAAGTTTTTGAATGGCTTCAGACTCAATGTCTAACTCACAGTATTGTGTCTAACAACAGGTCTGATTTTTTTTTGTATTGCAAAGGGACAGAATGAATGGATGTAACTGATTTATCTACAATTATTTCTAATATTTTTTCCTAGAAAAGTAGGATATTCAAAATTAAACTTAAGTCTGTGAGAATAGCTTTCTCTTTTTTTTTGTCAAGTTCACCTATTTACATAATTAAATCTAGAAAGGTGCAACTAAGAGGAACACTGAGGTATAGTCATATAAGTTGAAAAAAGAGAAGTCTTTGTTTTCCCTCTTTCAGGTGTAGCTTAACTCTGACTAGTTCTTTGCTAGCAAGCATTTTAGTGTTTTCCATTGACACAGAAGTAATTTGCTGTTACTTCTGTATTTACCTATGGGTGATCAGGCCATGGAATATAAAACTTCTGATTTTCAACCTTGTAGCTGAGAGCAAACAGCATATCATGACTTGGATTATTCTTTGATTATAAACCTGTGTAGTGAAACCTTGGTTTGGGTGCTACCAGCAAATAAAATTCCTTTGCTGACTTCAGTCCTTTGTTTTGACTGCTGAAAATGTATAATTCCTATCAGAAAGGAATATATAACTGAGTTATACAGTTTTACAGCTTGAAAAGATCTGAAGCAAAGTCAACTTCATAATATAGATGGCAAAAATCTTGTGTGGCCCAAAGTAGTTTTATGGATCAATCTTGTTCAGCAAAGATCTGTGTAAAATGTTTGCCAGCAAGCTTATTCTGATGTGCTTTGACTGTAGTAATGGCATTGTGACATTTTGTGTAGTGGGATGAACATACACTTGTCTCATCCAAGAGGATGTATGAATATTCCAGCAAGATAGTGACTTGCTAGAGTAAGTCAAGTTCTTGGTATAAGCTTTTAAAACTTCTGAAGAGTAGTTGCCATACAAAAGACCTTCTAAAAGTGAAAAAAAAAAACATGGGCAAGTATTATATTATTCTTTTTTGAGGTATGTCTAATAAGCTTTTGAAGGAATATAATACACTTAAGATGCCTCAGCTACTTTTGGAGTCACAAAAATAAGCAGGATGGCTTTTGCTGCAGTGTTGGAAACAAAAAGGTTTAATAAAAGGCAAAATAACAAACAGAAAAAAACTGAGCCAGGTGCAAGAGACCTTGCTCCTGTTAAAACACTTCACAAAAGCAATTAGTTTCTTTGTTCACATCCTTTTCTAGTAAACTGCCCAAGCAGGACTTTTTAGCTCTTATCCAATTAGCTACCCTTAAGTTTAAAGTGAACTTTCTAAAGTCCTATGAAGTAGCTTTTCACCTAATCGATAAGAGAAACTTTTTGGCTTCTTTCCTTTTTAAAAAAAACCCCAAAAGATAGTTTTGGCACTCTGTCAACAAAAGGCACACTCCTACAGACAAGCTTTAATAGCTTGTGTAGGGAAAGGAAACCACGCGTCGCTCATCCCCCGTGCTTGGACTTTGGGTTTCTGGGACGGTGCAGACATCTCTAGGTCAGTGTGCCTGACTTAACTGTTGTTGTAGTCTGTATCAGTGGGGTGTATCAATACTAGCTTGTTTATATCTGAGAGTCAGTTAATCTTCTTAAAGATTGTATTAAATCTTTCAGTGGATGGAACCTGTTTTATCTCCTCATTCTGTATTTTCTCACTTAAATGAAGGTAATGAAGTAACTGCCTGACAGGATCTCTGAATATGGACAAAACAGACAACTTCAGTTAAAAAAGGAATTACACAGCAATTTTTGTGAATTAGTTTATATTTAAAACACAACCTGGTTTATAATATATTAATGCTTTCTTTGCTTTTCCATGCTGAAGATGTATGAGGAGAAACCAACCAGGCTTTGCTAAGAAAATTGTCTAAGAAAGACCATAACCAAGGACTTGTGTGTATTGTCCAGGAAAGTGTGAGGAAGGCTTTTGGCAGAGGAGGAAAGGAGTGACCATGTCATGTTTAGTTTCCTGTCTCCTGATCTGTTTGCTTGCCTGTCACAGGAAAGCATCACCCAGCGAGCGAGATGCAGCACGTGATGGAGTCTGAGAAGGCGGCGAAAATCCCAGCGGCGCACGAGCACGGCCACGACCATTCCCGCTTGCACGCCTACATCGGTGTGTCCCTTGTTCTTGGCTTTGTCTTCATGCTGCTGGTGGATCAGATAGGCAGCTCTCATGTGCACTCTACAGATGGTAAGTAACGATTCACTTCAATTGGGCTTGCTAATTAGTCTTAATTAACAAATTGCCTTTTTTTTTTTTTATGCTACCAGGGTGTAATTTGTCCAGTCATGTCCAGAGTTTCAGTAGGTACTTTAAAAACATAAAGTATAAACCATAAACCAAGGTCCATGTGAAATGTTCATGCTGGAAATCTATCTCAGAATTCATCATAATTTGAGAGCTTGCTTCAATAACATGTGTGAACACATGTGCTGTGGGGGTGGAGGGTGACTTGACTCTTGAGTTACTCTCTGTTTTACTGTATCACCCATACAGCATTTCCTTGGCTTTTCAAAAACTTCAGGTTAGTCTTACATTCATTCATTTTTCCTACTTAATTATCGTATATATAGGTTAAATGTGCAAAGAACAGCAAGTTATCTTAGCAAGATGGCAGGAATGATGAGAATCAAGCTCTGGTACTTTAACTGCATAGCTGGACCTCCCACACTAGTCTAGAGCCTCACATACTTCAAAATACTTCTTGCTTTGTGTAAAGATTTGTGAGCTTTGTGCAAGACTCTAAAAATGCTTACAGTTGCCTTTGTTTCCTGCCTGTGACTTCATGCTGAGAGTGTAGCTTGAAATGCACCAAAGGTGTTCTGTCGTTTGAAAAGGTATTTTATTGCCTTTGGCTGCTCATTTCTCATTTTCTTCCACACAATGTCCTCTGATGCTGGAATTTGGCCCTGAAAAAATAAGGAATTGATCCTACAGGAAAAGCAAAGCACATACAAAAGCAGGGGGACTGTTTTGGCTGGATTCTTGTCAGTTCACAGTGCAGCTTGTTTGTATGGGCATACTGTGGTGGGACAGATGAAAGGCCAGTGCAGGGGCCATGCCACTTGTGGAGTCCTGAAGAAGTGTAAATGGAGCCACAGCCATGGGTAGCTGATTTTCAGAGCTGTTCTAAAGAAACACTGGCAATGAGGATGGCAGGGAGATGCAGGTGAGCAATTTCCAAAAGGATTCTTGGTTTGTATGGGTTATGACCCTTTTCTGCGTCTCTGATCATAGCAAATACCAGGAGGAGACTGTGATCTGTGTTAGAGATACACACTATAAAGTAGAATATGAAATTTTATCTAGCCTCTCCCTGTCACAGGAGATGTAGCAATGTTTTTGTAATATTTTTTAAAGTGAGGTTACTGTAGGTGTGCTTACAGCTGTTTTACAGACCACTGGGATAATTCAGTCATGGCTGTTCAAACTGTCTGAAATTAAACAGTTGAATAATAAGATGTTTCTACACTTTGTAGGGCTTGATTCTTTGTAATGGTTTCACCACTGATTGTGTAGTGGTGGATATTGATGTTGCCCTATTGTGCTGTGTAATGAGCTAACCTGCAAATGTCAGGTAATTCTGGTCAAAACAGTGGATCTCAAACAGCTCTGGCTGCATTTCTCCTTTGTGGTGTATAACATCAAAGGAAAATCTTTGCAACTGGTGCTGTGACAAGTAGACTTTATTGTTTACTAGGAACTGCCAGGGAATCACTGCAACAAAAACTGACCCAGACTGTCACCTGAAGGAAGCTACAAACCTTGAGCTGTGTGGGGAAACATCATCCTGACTCTTGAAGCAGCTCTAAATTCTTGGGATCCAAAAATAGCTTTTGTTGTTCTTGGTGGCACAGACCTTTAACATTTCATTTTAGGAGGTTAAGAAAAACATCTGCTTCTCCCTATGAGAGAGATCCTGCAAACTGCAAAGAATTGTCCATGATTCTATCACTTGTTTTTTAGTAGAACTTCAGGTGACTTGAAAGTGTTAAGTGTCAAACTACTTTGCAGTAAATCTAATGCAGAAATACAGTAGCTGGTAGTCTTGAATACAACTGCCTAAGCAGCTGGGGGAGATTTGTACAGTGATACTTACAGTATTTTTTTCTAGCATAATATATTGATTTAATCTCTTTATCATAACTGTTCTCATTACTGTTTCAGATCCAGAAACTGCAAGATCAGGCAACTCCAAAATCACCACAACACTGGGACTAGTAGTCCATGCTGCAGGTAATGTGGGACCTAGTATTAGTGGTTGACAAGTGTATGTGTTGGTGTGTGGGTCATCTTTACATGTGATAGAGACATCTGGGTTTTGCTTTTGGAGGTGGCTTTTTATAAAAGAAAGAAAGAAAAAAAAAAAGCAGGGAGAACTAAGGATCTTTACCAGAATTAACTAGGACCTCAGATGGTTCATGAAGTTTTATTTGGGTACAGAATTTTCTCTTTTACTCTTTACTCTACTCTTTTGTTTTTTCCATCTGAAAGGCTGTGTGATGCTCACTCTCTGCCTCTTCAGTTCTTTTGCTGACTCCTTTAGCTGCTAAATTTCAATACACACTAACAGATTTGATAAGTTGTATGAAACACCTTTGGATTTGCTTCTTGGTTGATGGTTTTTAAAAAAATACTCATTTAAAACAATAGTACCTTGTAGGAAAAAAAAAGGACATTATAAGGTGGAGCACAAAGACTTGACTGAAACACATTTAGGCTGATTTGCAAGGATTGACTGTTAGGTGAGTGTTGCAGTCAAGCCATGTTCACATTGTGATTTTTCAGTATATATGTATAGAATAAATATGGTGCTCTTTCATGTCCTGCTGAAGGTTGTTGTCTAGATAAGTCAGAAGATGTTGATCAAAAAGATACTTCTTCACCAAAAAAGTGTGTATATATTAAGGAGTGCTATAGTATCCTTTTTTATTTCATTTAGACAGTGTATTTATTGTAAGTGATAAAAATATTTGCAATAATATTTATATTTGAAAAATCATTTAAAGGGTAATAATTAAAATTCTTGCAATGCTTAGTATCTAAACCAGATTTTTTAATTAGAGGGGAAATCTCTTCTAGTATAGAAGACTAAAACAACTAAACTTGTTACTTGTTCTAATTTGAAGGAATGTGTCAATACAGAGTAGATTCCCATTATGGTTTTTATGGTCTTGGGAAATATGAGACAGCTCTTGTTGAGGGTTTTCTGTTATTCTGAAATGTTATGGCTTGACAAAGGCAAGTGAATCCTCTGTTGGGCTGCTATTGTTAATGGCAATTTTCAGTAACAGAGCTTCTTAAATCAATATGTTTTCTACTGTCAGCCTTTGAGGGGATGGGGAAGCTCATGTAGAAGAATAATCTGTGAATCTGCACTCCTTTTTCAGCTGATGGTGTTGCATTGGGTGCAGCAGCTTCTACTTCTCAGACTAGTGTCCAGTTGATAGTGTTTGTTGCGATCATGTTGCACAAGGTGAGTTATCATCAAAAAAATCTTACTTGTTCTTCAAAAGACTGTTAACACTCGCAGGAATTGCTAAAGATCTACAGTTTCATTTGTGATGTAACACAGAAGTGGTTAATGCCTTTGCAATGGAGAGGTAAGTGCAGTGTCAAGGACCAAAAATCATGGGTATGAGGTGTGACAGAAGAGCACACAATTGATGCTAAGTCTGAGTGGGGTGAAAGGCAGGCCTACTGCCTGCCTTGGTTGCAGAGATTGGGAAAAGTCTCCCAAAAGTAGAGGGGGAAGAGTAGCTCATGAAGAAATGTGTCGGCTTCACACTGACTTCTTCTGAAGCTGGTATGGTAGTGTTTATTTAACAAACAAAAAAACCCAAGGTTGTTATTGCAGTAAGAGGCATATTCCGAGAAGCTCTAAAGGGTGAGGCACAGAAATATATGCTAGTGCATTTGGAGGAAAAGCTGATTACAACAGTCTTAGTTCTGTGATGTTCATCAGAAATGGGGCAGAATATTTGTTGTGAAGGGTTTTAGTGTTTAAAGGGTTAGTCTTGTGAAACCACTGGATATCAGAGTACTAAATTACAACAATTAACTTCTCATTACCTCTGTTGTAGTAGCTTGGACATCACTCTTATACCATTTTGTAGGAATACAAATGTTTTGCTGATGGTAACAAGCAAAGAGTGGATCTTGAAGATGGAGAGATCTTTGCTGAATACTTGTGTGAATCTGAACCTATTGTATATGTAGGCTCTAAACATAACTATGCAGATGAAATTTGCCTTATGGTAGCACATGCATGGATTACAGTGGTTAGTCATAAATTCATATCAGAAATCATACATAATTGCATGTTCAGAATGGTAGGAAATGCATCTCTTATGTCTTTTCTTCAGTGTTCATACAAGTCATTGTGGTTTACATAACTTTGAGGGTGACAATGTCACTGTCTCATCTTGGAGCTTAACTTATGGCTATTGCCAGGTGAAACATGCTTTTGTTATTCTTAATGTTCTTAACTGACTTCTGGAATGGTACAATTTTAGAGGAGGAAAATGTCTCCTATGAATATTTGGTAATAAAGAGAAACTTATTTCTTCTCCGTGTCTTTTGCTATTCTTCTGATCCTGTTTATTCTTTTGTCTTTCTCATCTTTTTTTCACTCATGATTTCCTTCTATATTAAAAAAAAAAAGTTTCTGTGTATAAAAATGCTTAAGGTATTTTAGTTGTATGTCTTGCCTCGGAAATGTCAGGGTGGAGTTCTATTGTTTTTATACAAGCAACAGTATAGTAAATTCTGTGGATAGTGGGGCATCTGTGCCTTTTGGATAAGAAACTGGATGCCAGCAGAGGGAGAAGGAAGTGTTTGTTTGCTTCCTGGTGAAAACAGGAATTAACTAATCAAAAGAACTCAAGTCTTTGTTAACATGCAGGTTGACTCTTACCTGTCTTTGGGCAATTGTTTCCCTCCCCATGTTAATTGTAGAATTTTCCTACTGCAGATGAAAATCCTGTCTATCTAAGGATGTGTGATAGTAACAGGATGGAAAATGAAATTACCTAAGTTGATGGAGTCTTAGGAGTTACAGCAATGACTGTAGTCAGAATGAATATTTTAGTATTTATAATGGCTACACAAGTACATGTTTTCTGAGAGCCAGAACATGAGTATCCATTAAGTTTGGTTATTAAGGTGGGGCAGTCAGCGGAATGCTCCTAATTTGGGTTAGCTGCAGCATGCTAGTGCCTGCCCTGAATGTCTTCCAATTCAGTCCATTTCGATGTAGTAAGTCCTATTTCAACCTTTTCTCATTTTTCAGGGGGCTTTAGAAGGTATTGTATTTGCAGTACATTAGAATGTTGTTTTTGCAGGCACCAGCTGCCTTTGGCCTGGTTTCCTTCCTGATGCACGCTGGGCTAGAACGGAATCGAATCAGAAAACACTTGCTGGTCTTTGCATTAGCAGCACCTGTTCTGTCAATGGTGACATACTTGGGGCTAAGCAAGGTAAGTCCATGGTTTTGTTCTGCCCAAAATCTTGCTTAGTGGTGAAGTCTGGGGAAAGAACTGTGATATGAGTTTCATAATACATAATTCCAAACTGCTTGAGATATTCAGCAGAATGAAGATGTGAGAAAAGTTGATGAAAAGGTAGCAGTATGAATGCAAAAAACAAATAATAATTCATGCATTTCACATCAGAATCAGTGACATAACTCCTTTATAAAGTTTGATGTAGTTTTTTTTAATAGTCTGATTTCTGCTTTTTATCCTTTCTGCTGCTCCCTGCTGAGAACAATTTATTCATATAGCAGGTTTTATGTGATGCCTCTTTAAATAAGTGATTTTCAGCATTGTTGCATGCATTCTTCCTTTAATATGTGGGTAGGAAATAATCTCCTCCAGCGCCCTCCACCACCCCAGAAGTGGTCCTCTACATTCAAAGTCTGTGTCACGAGTCCTCAGCTAGAACAGTCTTTGTGCCTTACTCCATAAAGCATTGTGTGTCTTTGGTCTGTACAATAAATGGCCTGTGAAGTGGGACACTGCACATGAGTTTATCACCTCTGTCCAAATTAAATGTTTCTGCTTCTCATAGCATATCCTGGGATGCTCCTGTATTTCTCAGCTGTGTGTGTCCTGCTGGTGACATGTTATGGTGGTGTGTTGTAAAGGATAAAATGTGACCTCATGAAACTCAAGGCATGAGAGGAAAGATTAAATAAATCATCTGGGCTAATCCTTTACTTGCTGGATAGGATTTATATTTGACATTACAGTGCAAAAGACAGCAGAAAAAAAGGTTGGGTCTGTAAATAGAAAAGAGAATTCTCTTTGAGCACTGTTTTGAAGTGTCCTCATCAAGGGTTGGGTTTACATTTTGCCCTTCAGAAAGAAGAGAGAATTGATAAGGCATCAGGGCTGTCACAATGGTTTTGTAGTTCCAGCTGATTTATCTTTCTGTTTGGAAAAATGACCTGAGAGTAAACACAAGAGTTAAGATTACACCTCAGTTGGAAAGCATTGAAGAAGCATTTGAATCTGATATGTGTGGGTTTGCATTTCATTGCATTTACTGATCTGTAGCATATCTTAATCCTATTATGAAGATGAAGAGATGCTCAGTTCTGATGCAGAAGATGCATTTCTTCATGAAGTTCACATGGAAATGCTGGAAATGTTTTGGATGTTTAATTCTACATATAAATGAAGTATTTAATGAGTGCTGTTCTGGGACTTGGTTCCCAAGAGCAGTGGAGAAGATAGGTAAAGTCTAACATCTTATTTGAACCCATTGTTTAGAAAAAGTGAGGAAAAAAGTCAACCTTGAGAATCTTCCTTAAAATCTATGTCTTTGCAATATGAATTTTATTTTTTTTCAAAACCTGTTTGCTATATTGGCTGTGAGCTGATTAAACAAGATGCAGACTGTGACTTTCTTTATTTTATAAGGGTTCTTTTGTAAGGGTTTTCTCTTTTGTAAGTCCAAAATGAAGTAACTAGCAGGAGGGCTGTCTTTCTGCTCCCCCAGAACTTCAGGGTGCCAGTTACTACATGTAAGATGCAAGACTCAAAAAAAAAAATCACACAAAACCATTGTGAGACGAGACTTGATAGAGAACCTACTGTTCCTGGATACTGGGAGATTTCTGGTTTTTTATTACTGATTGAAGAACTTCTGCTTATTCTCACTTTTTCTGCTCTTTGTGTTTCAGAGCAGCAAAGAAGCCCTTTCAGAAGTCAATGCCACTGGAGTTGCTATGCTGTTTTCTGCTGGGACTTTCCTTTATGTTGCCACAGTTCATGTTCTCCCAGAAGTAGGAGGAATTGCTCATAGCCACAAACCTGAATCAACTGGAGGAAAAGGACTCAGTCGTCTGGAGGTGGCAGCCCTAGTATTAGGATGCCTTATTCCTCTAGTTTTGTCTATTGGACACCATCACTAAATGCTCAAATTTCAATGTTCTCTTTGATAAGACATGAGCAGTAAATGTCTGCTGCTCCCTTTATCATTCTTTTACCCATCATTCATCCCATCAACTTTATGAAGTTCAGAGGGAATCTTGATTGCAAAATGAGGAATACTGGGAAAGTTTTTAGTGTAGCAAAATGTACTTTGGCAGCCGGACGCAAATTCTGTGTAATTTTCTTTTCTGAAGACATTTGCTAATTTAATTGTTACTTCTGGCCCTATTCTCAGGGAAGATGGAACTTGAAGTTCAGGAAAGGTGAGCAGGGAAGAACATGGCGACTCCTCCCAAAATTGCAATCACCAAAGTATCCTGCAGTTCAGCTTTCACAGCTGAGAGCAAAACCCAAGGATGGCTGCGTTGTGAGAGGTTCAAGTCTCACTAAGGAAGAAGGGGGCTCTCCCCTGTTGGTTCTGTGTTGTCTGGGCAATGGGACTGGCCCTTGTGATGCTTGTCACTAATTGTATTGCAGAAATGGGCTGCACTGGGAACTCTGTATAACACTGCTGCTGTCACAGAGGTGTCACTTGATATCAAAGAAACTATGTAGACTGTGTAGGATTAGAGGAAATCAGCTGGTTAAGAAAGTGCAAATGAGTTTTGCAGTGTATTCCATCGTTTAAGACAAAGGACAGAAGCAAGAAGAATAGTGTTTTGATTTTTATTCAATTGTTAATAAATTCTAAAAGGCACTGTTTCTTGGGAGATAGTCTTCTGCCAAGTCAGTCAAGTGTTAAGCACCAAAAATATCAGCAGGAATTATGTAGGCTACTGGTATACACTAATGCTTCTGTTGAGAGAGATACCCATAGTACCCTTTGAAATAGAGCTGTTCTGGGCTGTGATGGGTAGAAATCTGATGGAGACAGCTGTTGAGGGACCAGAGACCTTTACTAGCTCATTTTCAAAAACCTGAACTGCTGAAATCCGTGGGGGGCTGTGTGGGTTTTTCACTAAATAAAGGTATTACGGCTAACAAAACAAGATGTTTAGTTAAATATTTATGCTGCAGATAGAATACAAAGTGTTTCTAAAGGACTTCTGAACAACAAAAACTCAAACCCACCAAAAACCAATCTGGTGGGTTCCCAGTAGACCTGTTAGACATTTTGCTTTTCCTTTGGGAATTGTTCATTTGCCTCCTACTCATAAGCATTAGTTTTGGTGAATTTGTTGGAGGACTTTCTGCCAATTGCTGATGTCTCTCACAACAGAGGAGTGGTAAAAGATCCCTCCATTTTCAAGGCACAGCTTTGTCTTACCAGGCACCATTCCCTTATGCAAAACATGTTATACTCTGATGTGCATTGAAAAGTCAGGAATGCTTGACATGCACAGAATCAGCATAAAATTCTTTCTTTAGGGGAAAACTTTTTAATGCTGATCCCCTTTTAAGCTATACTTTGTCTGCACTTTTTGAAGATAACATTGCCAAATCTATTTTTCTTTTCTCTTTTTGTTGTTTTTTAAAAAAGAATCTTGAAGAAATATCTTCTTAACTGAAGTGCTTCTTGTTTCTACATGAATGACTGTGACTTTGTCATGCCATTTATTACTTAAACTGCAGAGCCCAATGTGCCTCATAACTTATTTACATTTTTGTTATTGTCCTGTTTGTCTTTTAGTTCAGGGAGTAATGGATATGGCCTGGCTCTTGGACTAGTGATGGCTTTGTCTGTTGGCTCTGTAACAGTACTGATGTATCCCAGGATTGAACCTAGTATTGATTCCCAGGAGTGCTTGTTCATTTCTGTGTTTTACTATGTAAGGTCAGTGCAAAATTATTAGAAGTCGCGTTTTCCCAAAAGACAGTATTTTCTGATAGAATTAGTGCTTCAGGCCTAAACAAGCTTTTTTTTTTCTGTTAGACCTTCAATATTGTGTTCTGAAAAGCCCCTGCAAAATTAGTGATGTGGATGGGATTCTCTTCTGTGTGTTTTTCAATTTTTTTTGGTCTGTTTTGGGATTTTTACAACATATGTAATGCAACTGGTAAGTTACTGGTTTAAAAAGTTCAGCAGGACAGGTTCCTAACACATGCAAATGATACACAGGGATGTTTGCTCCAGAGTTCTGTTCTTCCTGATTCCCCCTAATTGCCTTCTTCCTTAATAATCTCACTGTTTTACCATGTTTAATCTTTCCACATAACCATTTCCTAAAGCTGGAGGGTTTTCAAGAGCAGGAGTGCAGTAGTAGTGCTTGCATTTCATAAAGCAGTAAGTTTTTATTCTTGAACCTCTGTCCTGTCACTTGCATGTGCACCTACCCTGGGAGCTGACACCCTGCCCGAATTCCCCTTCAGCCTCACTTTGTGTATAACAATAGCAGCGGTTCCATGCCTTTTGTTCCCGGCTGAAGCACACGGATGGGACCTTCTTACATGGATCACTGTACTGGTGAGGGTGTGGCAGCCAGCTTTTCACTGCTGGCATAACCTCTGGCATATTCATCACCGGTGCCTTGCTGAGGGGTCTTGTCATCTTTCTATTTTCTGTCCTTCACAGCATGTTTCCAGTCTCTGGGGCGGCCATCGGAAATAGGAGTGCTCAGTTTAATGATTCATGAAGTATAGGGGCCAAGTTACAGCAGCAGGTGAAGGAATTTGAATGGAAACATTGGCAACTCAAAATTGGCACAAAAATTCTAAAAACATACATTTTGGCATTTGGTTAAGTGACAGAAGACTTCCATGATTTTTATTTTTTCTTCTGTCTATTTAGAATTAGCAACAGCATGTTGTTTTGGTTGCCTGTTATCACTGAATTATTGTTTTCAATTCTGTAATTGAAACTGCAGTGACTGGAGAAGCTTTTGGTTATGTTGATATGGAAAATACAAAATTTTGTATTATCAAACCTTTCCAAATTTTTAGTACCAAATTGAGGATTATTTTCTCGACACAGAGTATTTTAATGAGTTAAATTAAATGGTCCATTTTATTATAGCCCTTTCTTTCTACCTATCTCCCCATCTGTCACAGTAAATCCAAGCATTGCATGTAGTCAGGGCCATCTGGTATCATTTTCTACTCCTCTGGAGACCTTGGTGCAAACAAATTCCTCTTACTCTCTTTGGAATAGCCTGTCTGCCTGTTTTTTCTTCCGTGAGGTAGGTGGCAGTAGGTCTAGCAGGTAAATGCTTAAACCAAGTGCCAGCCATGTCCCACTTTCCTTCAGCAAGTCCCTCTAGGAAATCCATAATCTTCTCATCACCTGTTTCTTTTCAGTTAATGATTTCCTAATTGGCAATAGGAATTGGACTGAAGCTGTTACTGTTGATCCTCATGTCTTCAGATACTTCCCCTACTGTTCTACTGCTTTTATTGTTCCTTATACAAAGAAGGGAAATATTTCTTTTTCAGCACTCGATGACAGAGGCAGAAGCTGCACTGACATTAATTTAAGTAAGGATGGCAGAACTGTCGCACCAAGACAGGATTTTTTGGTTGTTTCGGCTTGTCAGATGGCTGGGTGTTAAACACAGAAACCCACTGCTGACTCCAAAGAACTATTTCCAGGTGGATTATATAAAAGGCTAATCTTACCCAAGAGGCCCAGGAAAATCACTGTGTTTATTCAGGAGCTAGTTCAGAGCCTTCAAGGAGCTTTTGACAGTAGCAGGTGTGTCCATGTGCTATCAGCTGATTGCAGAAAGAGAGAGATGTTGTGGAATAAATGCTCTTGCTGCTCCCTTCCTGTTCTGTGCTGGCCCTTGGGAAATAGAGAAGGAAAGTGTACTTGTATTCCATTGAGGGTGGAAGGAGGAGGAGTGATTGCAGTATGGTGAGAGAGTTTATGATGAATATTGGATACTTTACCACAAATTTCAGATTCCTGTTCGCATCAAACTTCTTTTAAAATATTTGTTTTCTTTACTGTTATATCTCTTAGCAGCCTTGGCTTTCCAGGGAAAAACATTTTGTGGTCATTGCTGTTTACCTTACATGTTTCTCCATGTATGGAACTGTAATTTTAATGTCTCTTTTCCAAACCATTTGTACACAAAATCATTCCATGAATGGCTGCCTTATAATTTTTCCACTTTAATTGTGAATGGTTAAAATAATATTGCCGTTTTCAATTTGTTTTATTATATTAAATTTTTACTAGGTGCAGTGCTTTGGAGTTGGTTTGTCATTTACTGCATGGGGTTTTCTGACAGCTCTAATGGAGAGAAATGACAGTCTTAAATGGGATGCAAGCGTTGCAGACAATGTTGTATCTTTGTGGGTGTGTGTTTGCTCTTTTTCTTCTTGATGTCTGAGCACCTCTTGCAAACTTGGAATGTGAGCTGCATGTTGGGAGGCAACATAGCAGGTGGATTTGGATATGGCTCCCAATGTGTTCAGAGGTATTAATGCAGAGATGATGTGACAGCTGTGCTTTAGTGGGGCATTTGGCAGCTGTGTCTGTTACAGAGTGTATAGGGGCTGGCATTGCCCTGAAGCTATCTCCTCCTGCACCCCTAGGGAAATCTCTGGAGCTTACAAGGCTGGGACCTTTGGAGTGTAACAAGGAGATGATGGGCTTAAGGTTGCTCTAGACCACTGTTGAAAGGCTTGAGGACCCTTTGGAACTAAAGGAAGTAATCTTTTTTCCATCCTTGCTCTCAATCTCTTGTCAGTCTGAAACCAAAAATCTGGGACTGTCTGGCTCCATCCCCTTTGCACCCTTCTCTCAAGTATTTGTATACATTGATGGGATTCCTCTTAGAGCTGCTGAGTTGACATAGTGTACAGATATTCTCCATACTTCCCAGCTGCCCTCTGAGCAGGACTGGGGTTTAGACCTGCATTTTCAGAAAAGAGGAAGGGGAATGGTGCTGTTACAGGATGAGTGATGTATGCATTTACAAACTTCTTGCATCCATTTAAGAGATGGCACTTGATGGAGATGATTCATAAGCAATTCATTAAAAAAATTGATTTATGTTTTTTCTGCTGAGCTTGCTGTCTACAGACTTATCTAAGATCCTGTCACACAGTGATTTTGCTCTGACTCCAGCAATAAGCAATCCTCTCAGCTTGTTGCTTGCATTTGATTTTCTGGTAGTTCATAGGACTTGTGTCTTTAAGAAAGTGTAATCTCTTTATACTGGCTTAAGCACAAGAGAATATGATTAATGTAAAGTCAGTAGGAGAACTAAAGCAAACGACAGAGGTGCTGTTAAAGCTGGTACAAGCAAATGTAAAGCAGTGAGAAGGGAAAGCCAGTATTTTTCCAGGCAGACTTTTTTTTTTGGCAAGTAAAACTCAGTTTTAATGGTAAAGCATTATGCAGTATATTAGCATTCTTTTAGTATATTTAGTAAACATGTCACCTCTGTAACTGGAGATTTAATCACTGTAGTCTGTGGTAAATCCTTTTGGAGATGTGAGGAAGTGCTTTGGGTGCATTTATATTACAAACTTAAATTTAGGAGCTGTGGTGTTGCAGGCTTCCTGGTGATTGCTGTAGAGTGTTCCTTCATTTGTTAAGGAAATAAAAATGTACATCAGCATTTTATGAGCGACTCATTAGGGATGAGCACAGCACCAAGATGATGAGCTGTCATCTATTGTTCCAGCTGACAAATTAAGCCATTCTTCTACTGATATATGCAAGCCTTATCCAAGTATTCCTGCAGGCAGAATTGCACAACATTCCACCCTCCTTATCACAGTGCTTCTCCCCGTTGTCTGTGATGTTGAGAGATGAATAAACTGTTATTGTGGATGGGGGTTAAAGAAAATTGCCTCCTTCAGAAGAGCTTGTAGACCTAATAAAAATTAAGCTGTATCATGTTGACGGCCACCAAAGCTGCATAGTATTTGGAAAATCTAAAAGCAGAACGATATTATTAGGGGGAAAAGACTTATTGTGCATCTGTGTGCGCCAGTACCTGAAGTGGTAGTTAACTGATGATCTATGATTATAGTTATGTTGAAGTCTGTGGAGGTTAATGGGCTTCTGCTGTCTGAAGGAACACTTTCAGTCAGCTACTCCTGGTTACACAGGGTTGAAGAGGCCTGCTAAAAGCCCTGCTTACAAGCCTTGCTGGTACTCCAGGTGAGTCTTACTGTTGCACCTCTTATTCAAGTGTTTCGTGCCCTCAGAGGGTGATGCTATTGGTAGGAGTCAAGTTTTAAGACTGCAATGGATTTCCCATGTTCTGTTCTCTCTTTTTGACAGAGAAACTGAGAGGTGACTGATCTTGAACAAAACTTTGTACCTCTGGTATCGCCTCTGTGCAGACACTTCAAGTGAAGGTGACTGAGTACAAGTGGATGAGTAGGTGGTGGATCTGGGAGCATTTCCGTGTTTATCCCTACAATCTGAACTTCAGCATTATGAAAGAAGCTTCATCTACAAAAGCTGTGTGGCAGCATGGCTCACAGGAGAATAAAAGGAAATTCCCTCTTATGTAGAGAGCAAAGTCCTCTATGCCCTTCCTTGCCAGACATTTTATTTTTCATTTGGCTGCTGGTTCTCCTCATCGTTGCATTTTGTAATACAGCTGTCATGGTCTGCTGCTATGATAGATGGCAGCAGTAGTTCTTTGTGCCTCTGTACTTAGATAACCACTTGAGAATGTGGATAGAAAGGAGGCAAGAGGTGTCTTGTGCCTTCCCTGTGTATGTTTGCAGCAGGAGTCCTGACCTTGCTGTGACTGCCTGGATGAGCAGGACCAGGAAGGAGGAACTTGAAGTGGTGGAGGCTGCAACTAGAGCTGAGGGGTATTGCACAATGTATAGGGGAAGAATGTGAAGAACACTGGTGGTGTGGGCCCTGCAGTTTCCACTCCTGAATGAAGTCCTGATTGTAGTGTCCATACTTTTTAAGGCCTTGCCTTCAGTGATCACAGCAATGGTAGGTGAAAAGGAAGCACTGAATGTGTGTGCAAGAGCAATTGTGGTCTCTGTGTGCACGTGTGAGGCATTTTACGAACTTAAGATTAAATAAAAACGGGGGTTGGCCAGTTCTGTTTTCCTGGATATGTATTGTTTAAAAGTTAGGCCTATGAATTTCCATCTTTTGATCAAAGGGAAGAAACTAGGTAGAAATTGGTGGACTGCAATCAATATTGATACCTTTACAGTTGAGAAATAGCAGCAGCTAAACTGTTTTCAGAAACTTGGACAATTCAGATATACTAAGTGGTGTTGAAACAGCCAAAGAGTGTGTTTTTTCCAGAATGGGCAGCCCTGGATCTCATTTGCTCCTTGCTGGACTGTTTTGTCAGATCTGGAATGTACTGGTGATTTTCTGGTTGTTTGCCTGCCTTAATATGTAGAGATATTATGTTTCCCCTCCTCCATTATTCTGCCAGGGAAATGCTAACAATCCTTCTGTTTTGCAGGAAGTTTTTGGCTGCCCATGGTACCCAAACTAGTGCCCTGGTATATGTATTCTTGTGATGTTCTGGATTTAGTACCAGTGTCACACAGGAGGAACAGTGGCTGAGGGAAATCAAGTTACAGGCATAGATTCTGAGTTGGAAGAGACCCACAATAGTCATCAAAATCCAGCTCCTGGCCCTGCACAGGACAACCTCAGTCAGACAAGCAGCCTGTTTAACTACTGAAGCTCCAAGCATTTTCTGTTTGTCAGCCATGTGATCATTTTGTGGTATTTAGGCTTGATGGGGTAAAAACTGGTGCCTTGCAGGAAGCCTGTGGGCTATCTTCTGGAGGAAGCCTTCAAAGATAGCTGACCACTCTGATGTATTCTGAATGATGGCTTTTTAGCAGAAATCTTTGTTTAACAAAACAAAACACCAGAGTAAATGAGTTTTCTTCCAGAAGAGCTATCTTAGTAGGATTTAAAAAAAGTTTAAATTATCTTCTTTTTGTGCTGAGAGAAATAGTCATTGACTATGGTATCTGTTCCTGAGAAAGCTACCTCCCAAAAGCCAAGCTATAGGCCTGGCTGCTTGCTAGTCTTCCTCTAAGTCTCTCAAAGTGGTGCTATAACCACAGCAAATAGTTGGATTAGTTATGACTCCTGGGCCATCCAGCATGGATCTGAGTGCATTCAAAGGGCTGGGACAAGTCACTGGGACCATGTAATTCTTACCAAGGGATGATGTTAAATGGGGTTATACATCTCTAGGGGTGATGTCTGATGGGGTTCTACCGAGACACTTGACTTTAATGCCATTTGCTGAGTAACTTTCCTTTGAGTTCTGCAGAACAGGTCCGACTTTCCATCTGACACTGAAGATTTAAACATTGTGCAAAAGAAACATGCTCTGTTAGTGTATCTCACTAGAGGTGAGTTGATGGTAGTTGCTTTTCTACTTAAAATAGCCTCTGCACACAGCTGTGCACCCAGGAAGCCAGAGAAGCACTTTGGGGAGTACATGTGATATTTTTTATTTGCAAGAATGATGTATCATAAATTAAACTGGAGCTGGACTTTACACCTCCACAGTGTTTAGATACCTGCTAATAACTCCCATGATTGCTAATGTTTCTCAGGGTTAAAAATTACTTTGGAACCTATCAGAAGCTGTAAAAGCAAAGGGAATCTGCCTTACTGGAAGGTAAGATCTGAATCTCTGCAACTCTGCAATGGCTCTGATCCATCTCAAGTTACTGGCCCCAGCTCAAGAAGCAGTTTGTTCTTCTCTGCATAACACAGTATTGTCAGGGTGCCCAGAACATGAAGGTGTAACTTTCCACGTGTTAAAAAAAAAATATAAGCCCTGTCAGCAGCTGAAGTTAGTATGTGTCTCCTTAAACTGAAAGGGAGCATCTTTGAGCTGGAGAGTGACCTGTGATGAAGGCACATGGGGTAATTCTTGGACAATTCCTGTGCAGGGCTAAGTTGTAGTTGATGCTCCTTGTAGATCCCTTCTGACTCAGGATATTCTGTTAAAAAGTGTTACTTCTGTATAGCTTGCACTGCTGTCTGCTTCAAATGTTTATTTTTAGCAAAATTTTATTGGCTTGATGTGTAGGAAAAATAAATACAGCATATTAGTAAAATAATTGTCATACCAGTGCAGCCTGTTGCTCCAAAGAAAAGTTTTCTGATTAAGGGTCCAGTGCTGTCTCTCAAAGACGTACAGATGTGTTTCCCCTTCATTAGATTAGTACACACATAAAGGAAATGTTAAAAGAGCCACTATTAATACAAATTACTGTGTCCAGACACCAGCGGTTACAAAATTCACCTTGCTGCTATCTACTGCATTGCTGGCCTGTCACTTGACAAAAGTAAGTTGCTCTTTCCCTCCCCTGGCTTGTTGACTTTAAAGAACTTGCTGTAACTACTCAGTGCCTTGCTTGTCTTAGAGGCCTCCAGAGGAAAAAAAAATTAACTTCTTGATGTTCAGAGCTAGAAACCTCTTTACTCTCTTATTCTGTATGAGGTAAAAATAAGAAAGAATGAAAAATAAGTAAAGGGTGAAAAACTGTCTCTTGGCAAGGTCGCTGCTGTCAGATCTTTGCATTGTTGGTGCAGTACAGCAGCAGGGGCACTGGATTATTACATGGGAGCTCTGTGGCTTTTCACTGGACATTTATACAGTTAAGTAAGGCTGTAGGGCCCAGAATAATTTTTACCCTTTGTGCAACATAATTTGAGGGGAAATTTTCTTTCTTCTGGTTATGAGTACTATTTCCTTCTTGGCGCTGTGTACGGAATGGCGTCTATGGCATTAATGCTTCTCTTCTGCAATGCAGTATTATATTCAAGAGTGAGAGCTCAGGTGAGATAGAGGCAGTATCGGCTGCTCTCTTCTCCACCCTCTACCTTAATGTCACTCTGAAATGGGGCATGTCCTGTCTGAGACCAAAAGGTTGTTCAAAGCCAGGGTGAGAGGAAGTAACAAATCATGGAGTTTGCTGGCTCTCTCATCTATTGATCAACTGTGACTTTTATCAGGGACTGCATCTCTAATTTCTCAAATAGTGAATGCAGCCTGTGAGCCTGAGGCAGGCTGTCTGCATCTCCTCTCTTTAAGATGCTCTGCAAGTCCCTCTGACTGTATAAAGCTAAGTGAGCCATGTCCTGTGGTGTGACCTGGCCTATAGCACATCCCACATTCCTGATTGGGGATGGGGAAGGACCATGTGTCTGCACTGTGTTTCTTCTGAACATCTGCATTGGGAAGGGCTGACATCTAACAATTACAGCATAAAAATGTATTCATGTGGGATGGCACAGGTTAAATCAGGAGCAGATGCCTCAACATATATAGCATACATGCTATACAGCATGTTCATGTCTGTATTGGTTATAGGATATCCCAAACCACAGATGGTTTAGCAGCTGGGATTCTTCCCTGAATTCTAATCCTGGAGGGTGAGGCAAGATGAAGTATAGAACAATATGAGGCTAAACTGGTTTCCTGTGGGCATTGCAAAACACAGGTTCTTTTGGAGAACTGTGTATCTGTACAGGGAGAAGGGGTTTCAAGAGAGAAACAAGGACATAGGGAGCCAGATAAAAAAGCTTGCTCTGGGAGCACCAAGCAGGAGATGAACATGGACCTGAGCTGTGTGACACATTCCTATGTGTCTGTGTTGGGCAAAGAAGGAGCTGGTACCTAAGATGCAGGGCAGAGGCTGTTTTTGTCACCTCTCCAAGATGCAGCAAAGCATGAAGGCAGGCAGAATTTTATTCTCTAACTTTGATCAGCAATGGCCCTTTAAGGCAGAGCAAGGCGTGCAGTATGGACACTGCCCAGTCCAAACCCAGCAGCCACGTGAACTGTCCCCAGGTGGGCAGTGCCAGGCTGGCACAGCAAGGCCCCCTCACCCTCCCCGATGACAGAGGGAGTCTGACTGAACTTGCTGGCTCCCTCTCACTCTGCCCCAATTTTCCTCAGGACAAATGAGAAGAACCTGTCTCCAAGTGCAAGATTTTGGGAATATGTGTCAGAGATGCCTGTCAGTAAAACATCCGTCTTGCCCTAATTTCTGCATGGAGTGCTGCAATGTCGAGTGAAATAACCTTCCAAGCTGGCTCTGGTGCAGAGGTATTTTGGCTTATGTTATTGCTGAGAGCTTTCTTTCTGATGAGCTCTTTCTGCCTCTCTGTGTTTCTGATGTCTGACTCTCTTCACTCTTCTTTTTCCCTTGGGCTGGGATGTGTGCTGTTTGCAATGCATCAGGAAGTAATACGCAATGAGAAAACTCTCATCATCTGTGCATCAGGGGGAGAATTACTGACTGAGTGCTGAGCAGTCAAGTTATTGATTCAAACCAAAGCCCAGTCTCTCTGTCTGCTGGGCTGGTTACATCCTGCTGGTTCATTGCATTTAATCGGATTCTCTGAGCTGCCACGCAGAGGGGGTGAGTTAGACCCAGATCCATCTATAATGTTTGCTTCAAAATCCAGTTCTGTCTCCCCTTCTCCGTCCATGGAGCAGGCAGATTCGGATGCTCTGGACATCAGCACCAAAGTGCAGCTGTACGGTGTGCTCTGGAAGAGACCCTTTGGGAGGCAGTCAGCCAAATGGTCCAGGAGGTAAGCCACAGCTGCTGAGGGATGCTTGGGTGAAACAAAAAGCTGAAGGGTTCTGGGATTAGTTAAAAGACTGAGTGCTTGGCTTTTCAGTGCAGCCGGCCAGGCAGAGGCTCGGGGTAAAACTTGGGGCATAGCTTCCCTGCTGCTCCGAGTCTGCTTTACACATGTGGCACCCCATTGTGCTCTCTTCTTTCTCTGTGCTATGTGCACTTCTGGGTGGTAATAGAGACTATCTGCCTCCTCTGAACAATTATGATAGTTTCATGAAAGGGGAATAGTCTGTTCATGTATTTTGCCTCTAAATTGCCTGACCTTTTTGTTTTGGCACTCAAAGCTCATTGAGTCCTTCGGCTGGGAGATGGCAGGGCTGAGCTGACTGCGTGTGGGTCTGTAGTGTGTGTGTGTGGTCTGCAGGGGTCTGTGCACAGCTCCAGTACTGCTGTGCTGCCTGACACTGACAGCATGCTGGGAACAGCACATGCAGACTCTTCCCTGGGGAGAAGGTGGCTCTGAATTCTCTCCCATCTGGTGTTAGGGAGTTGTAAGCTGCTGGATGTTGTCTATCAGCAGCCAGGAAGTTTGAAGCTGGAAAGCATTTGCTATAACCTTTAACCAAGGAAAAATGTATGTTCTATAATACTGAAGTGGTGGGTCAGTTTTAAGTTTAGAGTTGGTGTAATTTCTTTATGCAAATCACTGAATCTCTGGCACTTACAAGTACTTTTGCTGCAGTGTAGATACAAACAATCCATTTCTAAAGCCAGCTTTCCCAGCTTTGCTCTCTGTAGTAACCATAGTGCTGCCCAGTCTGTGAAGATGGCATAGCCTGAAAAAAAAAAGTTACTTGGGAAGCAGTTTTGTGTTTGTAGCAGTCTTTGACCTGTGTGTGTTTTATTCCCTCCCATGCCAAGAACAGCCTATTTTCACCCAGAAAAGAATTTGTGCTGATGCTCCCTACTCAGCTCCCAAATATTGATAAATAAATGAATTATGTCTGGAAACTAATGTGACTGTTATGGAAAAGAAATGGACAGACTAATAGAGGGAAAGGTACTTTGCTATGGAGGAGGCATTCTTAAAAGGCTCTCCCTAATAAAAATTTCTTGCAGGCAAATGGCCTATCTCTGTTCCCTCTGTCATTATTTATTTAGTGCTGTTCTATTCCTAGAAGTCACCCCCATCTTCAGCAAGTGGTAAATGTTTTAGTGATAGCAGCTGGGAGCAGAAGGGGAGGTGACTGTGGGGCAGGGGTGATGTGGAAGGTTAGTTGCAAGCACAGCAGCTGAGGGTCCTGGGGGACCAGACACAGGTCAATTAGAGTTGAACATGGAATCTGTAGGGTTTGGAAGGAAGTGAGTACTGGGGTAAAAAGACTTGAACAGGGGGAATAATGTGTTGTTGGTTTGTTTGTTTTGCCATGGGAGAGACTTGCTTTAAAGTAAAACAACCTTGCATGTTATTATCACAAATCATTATGGGGAGATGACAAGCAATTCATTCATTTCCCCCTCTTTCTTCCCATACCAACCAACACATAGCTGGTCAAGTACAATTTTTTATGAAGAGACGTTTCCCACTCCAGTTAAATTAAGAAAAAAAAATACTATATATATTATATGACTATATAATGATGCCATTAAGGACCTAGTCTCTGATAAATGTAGGTTTTGGCCTGAAATCTTGGACAACAGTACTACTCCCACTCCCAAGGGAAGTCTTTCCAAGGTATGTGACATAAAACTTGTGTGAGGGGAGGATTAATCTCATTGTGCCGTCAGCCATGAAGATAGGTCTATATGGGAGATATGTGGTATTTACTGGCTTGATCCCATTCATTTGGCTGTGGCAGCAATACCTCTGGAGAAACTAAGAAGAAAAGCAACTATTTCAGGGAACAATGGAATCTGACTAGACAGCAGATCAAGGAAAAAGTTTTCAGGCATGGTGTCCAGTACTCTGGTGATGGAAATCCCAGGTTTTGGAATTGTACAGCAGTAGAGGTTATGCAGGGAGGAGGGAGGGACAGCAGAGCCTTGTTTCAGTCAGGCCTAGATCTGATGACACCTGTGGAGATAGCTGAACTTGACCTGGGTCAGTTGTCTGGAGCATTGTCAGTCCTTTCTTTTGCCCATGCAAAAGGAGTCTGCTCTGAAGCCCAAATATAATATTTGTGTGCTACCTCAGGTACTATCCAAGAGTGGGCTGGATGTTTCTGGCACTGGACCAGTGTAGGTGTGTCTATCTGCCAGGGCTGACATCTAAGCATGCTGCCTTTCAGAGCTTGATTTTTGAAATGCCATTAGCAGCATCCTAATGCCTATCTCTTAAAGAAAGGGAGTTCTATTCCAAATGTGAATTTTCTTTCCTTGTAAAGTAATATCCTTCCAACAGAGAAGCACCTGTATTCTGAGTTTACTGGTGCTTTTGAGCGGTCTAAGCTTGGGTCACTGCTGGAGTGGCTTTGGAAAATCATATTCAGTCCCTGACTAATGGTCCTTCCCTTCCAAACAACTGCACCCCATTCTTCCTTCCAATGCCTAACGAGCAATTTAGCCTCTCCTACTACAAAAGTTTTACTGGTAATGGCACCAGCCTGGCACAGAGGCTGGAGTGAAATGCATAATGTGTGTACCCGCCCTGGATATGGCATGAATAGAGTGCTGTAGCTTTCCAGCATGAAAGTGGCATATCCTTCTTTACTATGAGTGATCCCAGTCCCATATAGAAATGTCAGGCTCTGAACTGTCATCATCCATGTCTGAGACTTAGGGGTTCAATGGGACAGTGCCAGGAAGGGACATCTCTTTGGTGGACAGCTGAACATCAGAAAAGCAAGGTGAGAGAGAACAAAACACAAAATGTGCCTAGATCTCTCCATAAATCCATCAGAGATGACAGGTTGGAAGGAAGGAAACACAGCACAGTTAAGAGAGAATTTTTTGTCTTTTCTTGAAACAGTCCTGTCTGTGGCATTGCAAAGCAGGCACGTAACCTTGTCTTCCACAGTGGCTACTAACAGTCACTGTATGTGGTCACAGGACAGATGGAAAAGGTGATTGTTCATGGCTGCTTTCTGCTCAGAACCCCCAAGAGTTGCACAGCTGCAGAGCAGCATGCGTGTGCGGCACAGGGCAGCAGGGGGGCTGCCAGAGCGTGTGCTTCCCTCTGCTCCTTGGAATCCTCCCATTTGGCTGCTTGTGGTCAGGAAGCATCCTGAACCTCTTCCTGCTCCCAGCCAGGCTGGGTGTGCTTCGGGTGCCAGGGCAGGAGGCAGGCAGGGAAGCCTGGAGCTGTCAGGAGAGGAAGAGCAGGTACTGTGAACTCTGATCTTCATGCAAATGATAACGATCATTTGCCCATCGCTTTTCTGAGCTGTCCCTGGGGATAGAGCACTGGGCTGATCTAGTAAATGAGATTTGCCCCCTGTGCTCCTGGCCCAGAGAAACACCATCGGAATAAAGGACCAGAGAGACTGCTGCAGTTTTATAGTGTAACTACTTCATCTAGGCCATTGTCATGTCAAAAACTTGTACAAAGATTAGCTAATTAATTTCATTAGCCCTCTGTGATACAAAGAGTACTTATTCCACAGAGATCAGGTATCTCAATTTGTCCAGTACAGAGCTGTTGTTTCTGCTTTACATCCGAGTCACTCAAATTGTTGCCATTCCTCTGCTATTCCAGTTTAATTACACTGTGGTTTCAGTGGTTCCTTAGAGCAGGATCCAGCAGCAGGCATGGGTGACCAGAGCAGCTGACCACATGAATGGTTCTTGTGTTACCTGTGCTGTTTGTGGAGTGTGGCTGTTCCAGCCGGTCTCACCTCTCACACCTTTGCTGCTATTCTCCAAGGTTTTGAGCTCTGCTCTGTTTTTAAATTGCTCCTTTTTGGGTTCTTGTTTGTATTCAAAATCTTCCCCTGTCTTTACAGCACTCACTTTTTCTCCTGCTGGCATATCTGTGCCTAATTCAGACACATGTTCAGTGTCTCCAGTCCTCTAATCACAGTCCTAATGGAGTGTCTCTCCCCATTCTCCCTTGACCATCTTTTCCCTTTCTGCTCTTACTCACCTGCCTCCTGCTTTAGTCTTTAGCCTGCTCTTGAGTCTTGTAACTCTCCTCTATTATTTTACTTCATCCCTCTTTTCACCATGCTGCATCAATTGCCCCTGAATTGTTGCATGGAGACTTTGTCCTGAAGGTCATTTAAAGTGATGGTCTTGGTTGCTCAGTGTTGCTTTCCAGGTAAGGATAGGTGAGGGAATATGATCTGAGCATAAATACATTATGTGCACAAGCTAACCAAATTTTCAATGTTTTTCCTTCATTACTTTTCTTATTTTAAATTCTTATTTTGTATATTTTCCTTCCAAACCCCCATATTTTCTCTCTACATCACTGAGATCAGGGAACTAAAAGTTCATTTATCTGTGTGAGACAGCACAAATCTCTGAAAATTGATGTATGTTTTTTTCTTATTTTTGCTTTGACTTTGGTTTTCATTGAAGAATAATCTATAATATGAGGATTATCAGCACTGAGTAATAAAAAGTATGTAACAAACTAAACCCTGGCTTTAACTGCGGGATAACATTTAGATTAAAAAATCACACAGAGTTAAAGATCAATATGGTTACCTGTCTAGCAAATGTTTCTTGAGATTAGTCAGACTGAAAAGAGTGTTGAAAGTGATTATTTGACTTTCTCAGTTTCATGTGGTGTGTTGACTTTTGGCATCTCTAGATTCATACTTGTGCCCACAGTATCTGGTTCCCTATGACTCACTGGTCCAAGCACAGGCCCTTGGGCAGGCAGGTTTGTTCTTTTAAGATGTCATTTCTGTGTCTATTGTGCAGATGAGCCACATTTCTCTCTAAAGAATGAATTCCTCCTTGAACTAAGCATAGAGTTGGAGAAAACAGAAAGATGCAGCTACTCAAAGGAAAACTTGCTTATATAGAGTTAATGACCAGAGATGTGAGGAAAATTAATCAGAAAGGCACAAGGCTGCTGTTCATAGAAGTGATGTGGTCAGGAGGAATCGGGGACAAATCTTGTCTGCTCTCTGGAGGTCTCTGATGTCTGCCTTGCCAAAGTGCCTGCTTCTCCCCATCCCTGATGTCAACATGAACAGATGTAGATGAGAGGGCAAGGAGAAGAAAAAAACTGGGGAACAATAACTGCTGCTGGTGTTTGTATGTTCTGAAGATTTCTGGATGTAAGTAAGTACCTGTTCAATGACTGTCACTTTCAAACACTTTGGAGAAGGTACAAAGTGGTCCAGAACTTGAGTCTGCTGCAGACTTGGGGAAGTTTAGCTTTGTTCTTTTATTGCCCCAAGAGTGCCTGGTCTGTTTCCATGGCATTTGGCAATTTCATCTGTGTTGCCAGAGCCATAGCAGAAGAGCAAGCAGTAAAGTTTTCACCCAAATAAAATAATTATAATAATTTTATTAAGAATTATATATATTATTTTATGTTTATAATTTTCTGCCAGCTTCAACATCTTTCTTTAGCTTTTGGAATTAAACTGGTACCAGATTGCTGTACTCATCTGGACTGGAGGCAGGACTTGGCTCCATCTGACAACCCATTCACTTCAGGAGAGGTCTGGGGGGGATGGGGGCACATGAAGGCATTAGAACTGTCCTTGTGGATCAGCCCCTGCAGCCTCTGGCCCATTACTAATGGTGGCTCCAAGGAAAGGTGCAGCAATGTCCAGGCTGCACAAGTGGGCAGCACTGCCTGTAGAGGCCTTCTATTATTCCCTCCCAGAAACAGGAGGGATTCTTGGGAATGTTCTTATTCACAGAAGTGCCTTATCCTTTCCAATTTCCTCACGATCTCTTGTCCTCAGGACCACATGAAAGTGATTTACACAGCTATGTTTTGTACATTTTTAAATAATTTTCACATTCTTGCCTTTTACTTTCTTCTCAAATCCCTCTTTCTTATGTCAGAAAATATGTACAGAACAATAAATTTTCTTTCTCATTTACTCTTTTGAAACCTCCCTACTACATTTGTCCCCCTTTTTTTTCAGCTGCTCTTCATAATTTTAGAGTGCTGCAGAGATTTAGACCAAATTGAAACTAAGTCAGGTATCTCTCCCCTGTACCACTGCCTGCAGAGTATGTGCAACCTCAATTTTTGAAGAGAGGAGGGACACTCCCAGGGGCATTTCAAAAATCCAAATAAGTTAAAGGTGGCACTCCTTTAATCATAATTTTGAGGACACACTCCAGTAAGTTAGAGGCTTGGCTTACAGAAGCTGTGATATTTTGTGGTTACTACACAATGATCACCAGAGCATACCTAAGGCTAAGTGAGCAGAACAAGGCCTATTTTAATGTTACACATATGAGAAAAAGAATATTCAATTTCCTTTGTAGTTGTGAAGGTCAGTGACAGGACAGTTTGCCAGGTGCTCTGCTTAAAAATATCTCTCAAATTTATTTCTGCTCCTGAGTGCTTTGGTGGCCAATTTTTGCCTCGAGAGTCACCTGGGGATGCTAGGCTGTGATTCTCTGTTGGACTGGAAACACTTCCCTCTGGCTTATGCTGAGATGGGAGGGAAGAGGGTGGCAGGCAGCATATTGAAAAATATAGCATTTAAGCATTTAGTTGGTCTCAGCCCATGCAAGAGACCCTTGAATAAAAGAGCAGCTCTCTCCAGTAGGTGGAATTCAGCATGAGAGCTAGAGAGGGCACACACATAGAGGTGCCAAAGGTCTGTGCTCCTGTCTGGGGCACAGACTGCTGTCCCAGTGCCCTGTGAGCATGTGGCTTGCCCTCAGCTCTGGTGGGTGCCTGCTGGGGTGGACTGCAAGCACAAAGTACCTCAGCTTGGCACTTGCTGTTAAGCACCAGCTCCTGAGCAGAAGGTGAGACACCTCACTTTAGTCTTAGGTGGGAGTGGTAAACTCTCCTGCTGAGAAAGCAGCTTTACTTAGGTGGGGGTTTTCTTGTGCTGTGAACCACAACCTTCATTTCACCAGAATGTATTTCCCTTCTCTGTCTTAAAGATTCTTCATCATTAAGGAAAGCTTCCTGCTGTACTATGCTGAGAGTGAGAAGAAGAGTTTTGAAAGCAATAAATATTTCAATATCCATCCCAAGGTGAGCAGTGTTTGCACAAGGAAGGAGTTATTCTGTTTCTAGCATTCCCTCCCCCTTCCTCCATGGACCCAGCAGGTGATGAAGAGGAAAGTCCCAGTAAGCCCCAGGCATCTCACAGGTTCAGGGAAGCCTCAAAAGAGAAGGAATCATGTTGGCACCTTTTCAGGACATTTAATGATTCAGCAGGCATATGACTTGTGGTTTTTATTACCTGATAGTAGATATATTCCCTTAATCAACTAATCTTATGGCTATAAAAATAATGTTGGCAAAGCCAGTGGTGGGGCTAAGAGCTCCATTTGCTTTTTGTTCCTAACCTTACATGCACTTGGCAGCAGCTGATGGCCCACCTGCCCTCAGTACCCGAGTGGCGTCTGTAGCTCCAGGGGACCCTCTGTTCTGAGCTGCTTTTGTCCCCTGCAGTCACTGCAGGCTGATGTAGCACATGAGCTTCCGAAGGTGCTGATTCCACCCATCCTGGCTGTCACAGCCAGCTGCCTTTCCCAATGAATGCACAGCCTCTTCCATGAGAATCTGCAAGGTTTGCCCCTCTTGGGAGATCACTTCCTCCATGATGAAACAGTTTCTGCTTCCATGTTCTAGCTAACAGCTTTCCCTCTGTGCTGAAGGCAGGACTGTCATCCTTACCCCCTTCCAGATACTGGCTGAGGGTTTCCTGGTGGTGATGAGAGTCCCTTTGCTTTGCAGGAACTGTGTGTATTGCACTTTCCGGGATAGCCAAGGCAGGGCAGGGCCAACAAAGTGACTGAAAGTTCAGCTCCTGGTTAGTTGATAGTTATACTTGATTTTTCTGACTGATTAGAGTGCTCTGGTTTATCTCCAGGGTGTCATACCCCTGGGAGGCTGCATCGTGGAGCCCAAAGAAGAGGCCAACATGCCTTATGCCATAAAGATCTCTCATGAAGACTTCCATGTAAGTAGATTTTTCTTCTAAAAAGCTTCAAACACCACAGAACAGGTTAATGCTGATGAGCAGAGCTGGACTGGCAGACTTTTCCCTCCCCACCAAGGTATGCCTACCCTCTCTGGACAGGCTGTCCTGAGGGCAAGGGTGACTTAGCATCCCAAGTCCCCTCAACACTTTGCTGCTGCTGCTTTGACAGTCAACAAGGAAACTTGCACTTTCTGACAGCAGGTTTTAGGATTCTAACACACCAGTGGACAGATTCTCAGGAGCCCTACAGCCCATGTTGCCCTATCAAAATTATTCCAGCTGTGGCTGTTTGCTGTGTGCACACTTCCCATTGTGTGGTAGGCCTAGGTCGTATTTGCTCCTGTGTGATGCTTCTTGAGGAGGTGGAAGGCTGTGGTGGGCTCTCCTCCCACAACACTGTGTCCAGTTCATGCCAGGAGTGCACAGAGGTGCATAAGGCACCAGCCTCTCTAATCTGGGTTTTTTCCCCCTCCCCTCTTCCAGGGTAACATTGTTCTAGCAGCCGAATCAGAGTTTGAGCAGGCTCAGTGGCTGGAGATGCTACAGGAGTCTGGAAAAGTGTAAGCTTCTTTCTATTCCTTATTTGCTTTGATCTGCTCTGTAGGTGTATAAAGGATAAAGAGGAAGAAGCCTGACTAGAAGGGTTATGAGGAGCCAGACAAGCTTCTCAAAAACAGTGAGAGCTTTACTTGCCTGCTGGACCCATACTTACTCTAAAGAGGAGTGCTCTAAAACTGATGCAAAGCTTCCCACCTTGTAGGGCAGTGTGTGTGCAGTGTGTCTCTCTGCTCACCACCCCAGGCTGTCATCTGCCAAATGCTGACACACTGAGTTCCATCTGATATCCCTCAGAGAGGTGGGAACCCTCCTGGTCCATTTTGTGTGGGAAGCAAGGTTTGCAGGCTTGACAGTAGTGGGAGTCAGACAACCTCTCTATATGAATTTGGGGTAAAGTAAGAGCAGAACAGGCAAGGCGTGAAGCTAGTGAGCAGCTGCCCATGTGGCTCTGTGTCCTGCTATGAGCAGGGACCTCACCAGCACAGCTCTGATAAATAACAGCAATTGTGATGCAGTTCTGTGTCCATGGGGTGTGCATTCCTTCTGCCCTGATCTGGGGGTGTTCAGGCTGTGCAGCAGCAGGATTTGGCCTCTCAAAACAGTTTAATTGTGAAATGTGGAGGCAGCCTAAATCCCAGGAGAGGCAGTGTTAGTAAAGCATTTCCAGCCCACCTGCAGGGGTGAGAGGGTTTGATTGCTCTCTGCATTCAGTACTGGTTCACACTCTGCTGAGAAAGCTGGGGATTTGTAGTTTGTTGGCCTCCAGCTCTGCAATCCCCCAGCACCCAGGAGCCTGCCAGTGCAATGAGCAGCTGTCCTGCAAAGCCAGAGCAGGCTTCTTCTAAATCTCAGCAGATGCAGGAAGAGATAACACTAAAACAGGGATTTGACTTTCCCAAATGAGATATAGAAACTTCCTGGGTTTGTAGGGCAGAGCCTGCTGTTCAGCTCTGAGGCTTAAAGCAATGAGCATTTTACTCTGCCTTTCCTGGCTGCATTACATGTGTGGTCTCTTATCACTGTAGGGACAGAAGCTGTTTAACTTGTAATACCAGTGTATGCATGTATGTGTACATGTTAAGGCAATATCTTAGTTAATTTCCATGTTGTGAGGCTCAAAATGTAGATTTGTAATTAATGGGGAGTGTAATGTTATGGTGGATCAGCCCAAGCCAAGCTCTGTGCTGCAGGCTCTGTGCTTGGCTGTGGTGCTGGGGCAAGCTGTTCCCTCCATGGCAGTGTATGAAGTGCAAGACAAAGCTGTCCATGAAGCTTCATGGGAGCAGGAGTCCCATGGGGCACAGGACCCAAGGCAGAGGCCTGCCACCCCCTTGGCACGAGCAGCCTTGGCCACTGCACAGGAGAATGACAGACCGGAGTTAGCTCTTGAGCAATGTGGAGATTTTTCTTGAATGGCACGGGTCTGCACTTGCCTTTGCCAATGTTAAGATCAGCTATTGCCAAGGGCAGTAATTTGCAACCAAGTTCACCTTTCAGGTGTGTATGAGAGGGAAGGAGGGCAGCACAAGTCTTTATGCAAGAAAGCCCTGCATTGCTGCATTTGTCACAGAGCCAGCCTTTTCTCTAGCCCATGCTTTAATATTCCAGCAGTAGCATTTAAAACTGAAGCTAGAAGTGGCTGCTATCATACAGCAAACCAAGGAAAAGCACAGACTATGTGATTTAACGGGGTCAGGTTGGGAGCTCAACAGCAGTCAGAAAGGCCAGCATGGGCCAATAAATTGATCTGCAGTGAATAGAAAAGCTAAAAGAATACAGTTTAATTATTCTAGGCAATTATAATGTTCTTTTGTTCCTAGATGGAGATTGTACTGCCAGTGGCACTGCAGGACTTAGCTGGGATCATCCTGCTGTTTTCATCATTATTTAAAGCTAATCAAGAAAGAAAAAAACCAAACTAAGAAACCACAAACAAACAACTTAAAAAAAAAAAGAGCCCAACCCCCAAACAAACTCCATAGACTATAGGTGAATGAGGAAAAACAAATCCAGGCTGGGAAATATCCTCTGTCCTTTATTTCAGTTTTGTCCACTGTCCTTTCCATCTGGGGTGGATCACGTGTATGTGCCTGCACAACTGGTTATTGCCTCCACCATCACAGTCTGCTTGGGGGTCCCTTCAGTTCTTCACTCCTTTCCAAGCCTCCTGCCCTGGTAGGAAAATGGCTTCTTCAATGCAGAGGGGAACTGATGGGATCCCCACACATCCAAAATCTTGTGGCTTGGACTTGCCACATTTGACAGATTGTGCATTTCCAAAAAGCTTTCACAAAGCCCTGACTCCCAGACTGCCAGGCTTTCTTCCCACTTGGAGAGGCTTTGCTGCTGCAAGTGGGGGAGAGGGGCACCCATAACCTCTCTCTGTCCACAGTAGCATTCCCTGAACTGGTATAAAGTAAACTTGGTGGGCAATGCAGGAGAAAAAAAGTAACATAGTACTTACATACTGCAGACTATAAAGTGCTAAGTGTCTCCAAAAATTGGCTATGGGTGCTACCAAGAAAGGTAAAATGCAGTGAAAGCTAAAGAGATATTCCCAGTGCTGCAGAAGGACTGAAACAGACAGTGATTGAGGTGTATATGTGATGGATATTCTCTACAGCTCTGGGGTTGGTTTGCTTTTTTTTTTTTTTGTCAGGCAGGGGCTTTCTACATGTCCCATGAGCCTTCCTGGCCCCGTGTTTTCCAATACTTTAAGCAATATAGCTTTTTCTGATGAAAACTCACTTGGCAAGAAATACAAAATAAAATAAGTTCTTGCTTGCCCCTCAAATGGTACCTCCCTGTGGCTGTGGTTACACCAGCACTGGTTCCAGCAGATGTAGGAATAAAAGCTTGAATGCTGCATGGTGATCCAAGTGCATTTTCAAAGTCACGCAGCAGTGGGTGCAGTAACCTTTGAGTAAGACAGGGAAATGTCTTGTTATTCTGGGGAAGGGAGGGAGCCCTGAAAAGGTGAATCTGTAAACAGACACCTTCAAGGCTACAGATGTTTTGAAACCCTCCATGTAATCATATGATAAACTCTGTCATTCCCCCGCTCCCATCTTGATCTGTTTGCTTCTCTGGGATCAGATTCGTCCTGTAACAGGGAGTGTTAGTGAGAAAACACGTTCACACCCACATGTTCTCACTCAAGATGAAGATGTCTACCTGTGGGCAAAACAGCACCTTTTAAATTAGCGTTCTAATTTCCTCTCTACTTTAGAAATAGCCTCATTAGCTGACAAGAAACACATATATCTGCAAAGAGCTTGGGCTGCTGGAGCTGTGAGCTGCCTGGTCCCTGGGGTGGTGTGTGTTTAATTTATTCATCTGGCTTTTATAAGAGACAAAGTACAGCTTGCCTTGAAATTGGAGATTGCCAAATTAACAGTTTCCAAAAAGCTACAATTTCAAATTGTTCACAAAGAGGCTTGGTACAGGAAGCTTTACAGATATTTAATATTTATAAGATCCCTTAGGATTTAACAACAATGGCAGAATTTCTGTGCAACAATTGCTGTTCCTTGTGCACATCTATATAAACACATTGGAATCAATTTTAGGTATGTTTTAATGTTATGCATTTTATACTTGTAGATTTTTTTCTAATGAAACATGAATAGAAGTGAGCACAAACTCCATTTCTGGTTCTATTTTTGGTTTTTGTGTGTGCTTGTCCTTGATGTTTAATATCTGTATTAAAGCCTAGCCTGTCTGTGAACTCAATCAGTAATGGGTATCTGCTCCACAGACCCTTTTTTTAGCTTTGCTTCATAAGGTGTTTAAGAGACCTTGAGATCCTCTGGCCAGTGGCCCTACAATAACACAAGGTGCTCTTTGGATATGCCTGCTTCCTTTAACATTCCCTACTTGCCAGCATCTTTTCTGGCTTTTATCTCTGGTTCATCATTGTCAGGAATTGACTCACAGCATAGGGCCAGACACCAAGTCCTAGTGGCTTACACCTTTAGCAGAGGAGGGGTTCCAGAATGGATGATGGATACCAGAAAGACTGAAGGTAAAAGGCCATAGGAAGGATTCAAGAAGTGGTTGAAGTTGGAAGGGGAAGAGTGACTCTAACAGCAAAATCTTGAAAAGGCTGAAGAAGACAATGTTGCTGGCAGTGGGAAGTTACTAGAGTTAAAAGCTAAAATCTGTTTCTAAAGTCTGTCATTTAAAAAGTTCCAGGTATATCCTGTTGCAGTTGAAGGCTGTGAATGTGCTGGATTGTTCTGGAGAGCCCTCAAAATTAAGTTCAATATAAAAATCTCCAAAACACTGGAAAAAAAAATTTGAATAGCTGTGAGGGGTTCAAATACAGCCAGTGTATTGAAAAAAATAATTACTGAATGCCAGGGAAATTTCTCCAATTCATTTGTGGAGAAAACTTTTAGGGAATTATGGTCCCAGCTGATGAGAGTCTGCATGTTTGAATTCCTTGGTAGTTTGCTAGGCTGAATCCTCTGTCCTAGTCTGTGGGACCCTTAGCTCTCTTACATTGCCTACTTTGTGTTTGCTCTCCCTAGGACCTGGAAGAATGCCCAGCTGGGAGAAGCCATGATCGAGAGCCTGGAAGCTCAAGGACTACAGCTGGCCAAGGAGAAACAGGAATATTTAGGTAGGAAACTCTTACTTTGAAAAGCCATAAAGGCCAAAATAGTGATTTTGCTTTTCCTGGAGTAGTCAGTGTGGTCAAGACAAGCAGGTACAGGTTTTCTCTGGATGAAGCTTTTGAGCAGTCAGCAGCTGAAATTCGGGTCTGAAGGGAGTCAAAACATGCAAAAGTTAAGGTGGGATCTGGACATCTGTGCGGAGTGTGAAGGAGGAACATGCCTTGCCCAACATTCTGCAGTGCTCCATGGCTCATCTGTACAAACATTTGCCACCCCTGAGAGGTTTGGATGTGCTAGTTTCAGCTGCTCACAAGCAAACAGACAATACCTTTGTCTCCCTCAATCAGACAGGACTGATACTTCTGAGGTTGGTCACAGATTTTCATATATGAGTTTTCTTCACCTAGCTGGTGTTTTATTTGGTCTTACTCTACTTGATCACTGTTCATATTGGAAGTGGGAGCATTTACATGGGCTTGTTTGAGGTATCTAATGGCAGTGGTTAATTTGTCAGTGCTCTCTGTAAACAGTGGAGAAAGAACAGATGAACTTGAAGTAATCTAGGTATGAAGAGAGGTAGATTATGTAATCCAGCTCCCTATTTGGGAGCCAACCTTTGCATGGCCTGATACCTTGGATGCTCTGACTGCCTTGGGAGGTCCAGTTATTTCTTTCCCTCGTTGCCTATAGGAAGAGTCAAGGGAGAGTAGCCCTTTTAATCCAGATGCCCTCTGAGTTACAGCATTCCCCAGGTCTAAGAGACCTTCTGACCTGGGGGCTGCAGGTCACAAGTGTGGGCCCAGTGACTTGTCTGGAGAGTTATCTGCTTTAAATAAGATAGCAGAAATTTGGGTGCTTCAGGTTGATGATGCCTTGAGCAGGGGCTCATTCTTCTACTCCTAATTGTCAAGCCACTGGAGGAATCTTAAGGAGCTTTTTGCATTTCTGCATCCATGGTGATCAGGGCTGATTTCAGTATATGGTCTCACAAGTGACAGTGATCATAGCTCAAGTATCAAGGCATGTTTACTCTGTCCATCTGAACATCATTCACCCATGTGAGCTGATGGACGGGCTCATACGTGAGGCAGGCAGGGAGAAGTGGTTCCACACTTGACAAAGGAATAAGGGGGGCTACTGAGAGGAGGACCTGGAGGGACAGAAAGAGGGGGAAAATTAGAAACAGGAAAGTTTCATCAAAACATTATTTTGCAACCAGCAGAGCAGATGAAAGGGCTTTAAAGACTAAAGAACTCTTTAGTATGATAAAAGAAAAGGTGGTGGAGAAATAGAGGAATACATATTCTGTGGCAAACAGGAGATATTTGGAATATAAAATATATGTTTCACTGGGTTCTTTGGTCCATGACAAGAACATTCAGAGCTGGTCAATTGTCACAGTTGGTTACTTTCCTTTGATATGAACTGTCTATTTCTATATAAGTTCTAAGGCTTCTGCCTCATTAGCCTTACCTTCAATGATCTGTGTCCATCCTGTAGTCAAGCTTGGAGGTCAGGCACTGTTCCTGAAAGCAGGTCAAGGTTCTCTGGACAAACACTGCTCTGAGGAATTTCTTGAATCCACACTGAGTTATCTTCCAGCCAGCTGGGATCCAGGTTTCACTGTCACACATGGACATTACAGAAGCCATCAGGTCCAGGGCTAGGACCCCCCAGGAGGGGCAGAAGAGGGACGGTGGGAGAGCCTCTGTTATTACAGTGCATCTGTGCTGAGTCTGGCCAGGGAGAAGAGGGAGAGAGTGGGAAAGAAAGGCATCAGTGGTGCTCAGCAGAGCTTGGGTAATGTAACCCTATCTCTCTGGCACCAGGAGCCCTGCTCTGGGCAGGAGGCAGAGGTCTGCATTCCTCCTAGAAGTAGTAATGCTGCCAGCAGCAGGAACCTTGTCAGGTCCTCAGTACCAGGGAAACCAGTAGTGCCTCGCTCACCTCTCAAGAGGAAGATAGAAGTGCTCCAGTCAATCTGCCCTGCTCCCGCGGCAGCCAGGTGGCAGAGCTGAGAGCTAAACCCGAGGCTTGACCACCAGAAACGTTTCTCTCTGGGTTCCTGTAAGTGTGGCTAAGAGCTGCCCGAGGCTGAGCTGCTGAGCTTGGAGCTGGCACAGCAGAGGTGATCAGGCTGCAGTGTGAGGACAGAGCACAGCCTCTGCTGGGGGTGTGTGTGTGTGTTCAGAGGGCAAGAGCAACTGATGTTGAGGGGAACTGCTCTGTACAGCAGAAGTTTTGTGGCTAAGTTAGGGATTGATTTCTGGACTTGGCTGGGACATCCCAAGGTGATGATAGGAAGTTGGCAGTGCTGCCCAAGATGGCTGAGGAGAGGATGATGGGCTAGGCAGGTGAGCTGCAGGAAAACTGACTGCTTCTACATGTGGTGTAACCCTCTGCACTCACTTGACCTTTCTGTGCCTTGTTCCTTATGTGTGAAGCAGAGATAAGAATATTTTCCTGACTCAGCTGGAGGATGGTGAAGGATGGTTCATCAATGCTCTTTAAGAACATTGAGAGGAAACCTTAGAGGGAGTACAAAGCAATATGCTTGTTTAGTTGATTAAGTTGTTTTGTGGGAGGGAAGTTATAGAACATCCCATTAGTGCCATCTCAGCCTTTGGAGCCTCCCAGACAGACTCACACAAAGGAATAGGGAATGCTGCATTTTCAGGCTTCAAAAATTCAGTGTTTCTTGTTTGTAAATATCCTGAGGATATAAAATGCTTTTCTCTGGGCTTGGACTTTTTTTGTGTGCTTGCAGATAAACTAATGGAAGAAACAGAGGAGCTATGTCTGCAGAGGGAGCAAAAAGAGGTGAGTTCATCACAAGCCAATTTCCTTCAGCTGCCATGTGGCAGGCCTGGGAGGTTGGAACTTGTTGGTTTGAAGGCATGTCAGTGTTCAGGGAGAGAGGCTTGTGGAGGCTCAAGATTTTTCAGCCAACCTCTGGGTCCTGTGGCTGAAAAGACAAGTAAGACCTGTGCTGTGAGATGGGTCATGGAGATGTTTCCCTGCTCCCTTTCCCTGTTACTTTCCATGCAGTAGGTTTGTCATTATGACTCCAAGAGGACCAGGGAGGAAAATCAAATGAAAATCATACTGGACTGAATTACACAATTGTTGTTTGGCAGATTCAAGAAGATTTTGGCAATTAATATGGCCATCTCCACAATTAGAAAACAAGTAAACAAACATTATTTTAGCATAAAGATACTGTTGTGAGAAACAAGGAGCACAAAAAACAATATGGTTTGTTCTTTGGACACAACAGAGAGATGGGGAGAATAAAAAATGTTGCACTGGGGAAAAATCAGGAGAGCACTCCCTTAGATGTGACTGTTATACCTTAATTTACCTTAGAATAGAATGGCTTGGGTTGGAAGGGACCTTAAAGATAATCTTGTAACAACTCCCCTGCCATGGGCAGGGAGGGACATTCACTAGGCCAGATTGCTTTATCAAGTTTATAATTGCTTTTCAAACTATTCCTAGCTTGTAATTGCTTAATATAATAAAAGTAGCACATCCTTATATTTACTGAGCCAAATCTATACTGATTTTTATAGCATCATCATAAAGTCATGGCAAGATAGCTGTCAAATGGATTGTCCAGTTGGAAAGTCTGCATGGATATGGACCACCATGTCACAACATTGCAAAGTGCCTCATGCTCTTTTCCAGTTAATCCAAAATGACTGCTGCCTCTCCTTAGGAAAAGATGGAAATGCTGACCTAGGCTTTTCAGGCCTTTTCTTGCATACATTTCTGGAGAGCAAAAATCCAAAAGTGGCTTGGACACTTGCTTAGGGCTAAGCTCCTTTTGCCTTTGCAGAGAGACATCTCCCTGTGGTGAGATGGTGAGGTGGCCTGCTGCACAGCCCACAGCCACAGTGGGGGAAATGACCTTGTCTGAAGATCTTGGAACAAATCTCTGCTCTTCCAAAGCCATGCACAGTAACTCCATTGCCCACAAAGAGCAGATGGGGCTGGGTTCGTTTGAAGGAGTTTGGTGCCGTGAAGGACTGAATGTAGATCTCACTGAAGTTTGTGGTTTGACCCTCTGGGAGCCTGAAGGCTTCAGAGCAGTATGTTGGGAAAGCAGCTCCAACTGTGTACCTGCACCACGGAGCAAGAGTCCTATTATGAATTTATCCAGTGCCAACACTGTTCTGTGACTGGCAGGGGCCTGTAGCAGGAGCTCTGCACAGCCACTATGGCTGCAAGGGGACCTGACCAGGAGAGGGAGGGATCCTTACTGAGTTTTGGTTTTATCAGCACAAAGATAGTGACAGGCTGATTAAACTGTGCAAAGCTGTAACTGAATGGTTTGTGTTTTCCTGCCCCAGTTGGGGTGGGAAGAAAGGCTGAGCTGGTAGAAGTATCACAGTTCAGGCACAGAAATCCCAGAGTTGCTGCATTCTGAGGCTGTCTGGCTTTTCTGTGTTTGTATGGGTGGGTGCCTGAAAATGGTACATACAAGTAAGTCCAGCATTCCCAGGGAGTTTTGGACCTTTTGTATATATGTGGCCGAGCTGACCTCTGCAAGCAGCATGTCTGAGATTTCCAGGTGCTTGGTAACCTGCCTGGGGCTTCTGGATGTTTGAAAATCCTCAGGCAACCCCAAATCCTTCTAATTGCCCCTGGACAAAAGCGTGGTGGAGTCAGACACCCTGTAGCTCTACACAGCTTGGGTTAAGTGCCTTGTTAAAAGTCCCAGGTGCTGTTAACAGAGGAGCCTCTCCTAACTGTGTTGGCAGAGTACATTCCTGTCTTCTCTTTTGGGGCAGGAACTCGAGCGTCTGAACCAGATCCTGGAAGCAGAGAAGCAGCGTTTTGAAGAGGTGGTGCGGGAGCTGCGCCTGGAGCAGGAGGAGATCAGGCGGTACGGCTGCAGGGCAGAAGGGACACAGCTCCCTCACCAGGCAAAAGCACACTGTGGTGGAGAATCCAAACTGTCTGTAAAATCCACCTGGTTTGTGCATGTAGGAAGGAGATGCTGCCTTGACCGAAACAGGAATGTCTGTGGGCTCTTCACCTGCATTTGCTATTGCTTATGGCTGATAGAACACAGCTTAGCTTCATTTTGCACTTGGGCCTCCAGCAATTTAATTTCAAAGTGCTGGAACACAGGCAACCCTCAGATTAGTTGGGGTAGCATGGCAAGGGACAGGTGCAAGAGAAGATTTCAGAGAGGCAATTAGCTCAGCTGACTGAGCAGCTCTGTGGAGTCCAGACACCTGGATCTGGTTTTCCAGATCAGCTGAATGACAGTGGATGTTTGATGATACATAGACTAGTAAGATCACTAAGATTAACTTTGTCATTTTGAAAGTTAACTATGCAAAATATTAGCAGCAAATGTACTTAGAAGGATCCAAGTACTTTGCCCCAGGTGTTGAAAGGGCATTTTTTACTTGCTTTCTTTTTTTTCTTTCTCCCTAAGTAACATCTCAGAAAAGCTAGGGTGATTTTGCAAACCATTTTTGTTCTCACAGGCTCTGCTTAGATGTGACTGCCTTGTCTGAGCTCTTTCAGTTGCAACCATGGCTCTGCCCTTGCTGGCGAAGCCCAGTGACTGTTGAGTTGGGTTTGATGATCAGGAGGCACAGGAGAGTTCCTGGACACCTGTAGTGTGTCCAAGGCAGGATGTGATGCTTCCTGGCAAACTCCTGGCTCTCCAGGACTGGCTGTACCAACTGATGGTTGCAGGTCCTGCACCAGGAGACAGCCCGCACAGCCTGGGCATGGTCTGCAGGGCTATTTGTACCCCTGCAATAGCTGTCACTCCTTTTGCTTCTTCAGGGAGCTGGAGCTCACAGCCCGCTCCCTTAAAGGAGTGGAGGAAGAGAAGAAGGAGTTGCGAAGCCTGACAGAGTCCTTACAGAACACCCTAGAGGTGAGTGACTGCTCCTCCCCTCTGAGTGACAGTATTTGGGCCTGAAAGCAATGCTGTCACATGGAATAATCCAACATCCGCTAATGCCAGAGCTGAAGTGCTGTACAGATGAACAGGTTCATTTGGTAGCTGATATGAACACCAAAATCCTCTGCAGAAAAGGATGAGAAATGACACAGAGCACAACTGAACCAAGATTTTCTCAGCAGTACCAGGTGATATGGTGGTAGGACAATAACCATGATAAGCTGTAGTTTAGGAAGCTTGGGTGGAACAGTAGGGAGAGAATTTTCACCAGATGGGCAGGCAGGCAGTCGGAGAGGCTGAGGAACCTTTGTCATGGGCTGTTGTCAGACTGTGAACAGCCACAGCTGACCATATCCTGCTGTGCTGCCACACTGGCCCTGAACAGCAAGCTGGGCAGGAGGCTAGTGGAAGGTCCCTTCCAACCAACGTGACTGTAAGTCTGTGATGAGCTTTTTTTTTTTTTTTAAAATTAACTGCACCTCCCTACCATCTGGTGGAATTTGAAGCAGCAGAGGGGCGTTCTTTCTTCACAGAAGGGAGCATGATTCCCAAGGAAATAATGTACCACATGGGAATCTAGGAAACAGAGTTTTGATGAATTAAAATCTTTCCTTACTGGTGGATTTGTGGATATTGTTGTGAAATTGCCACACAGCTGGCATTCTGAAGCTGCAAGGTCATCTTTAAGGTTTCTGTCAGATCCTGCAAGTTTGTCCAAAAATCTGTTCCTTTGCGCTCTTCTCCTTGCCCACAGTTATGACAAAAAGAACTGGAAAGCTGTGGAAGTACCATTCCTGCCCTGTTTGCACACTGAACACTTCAGAGACAAACAGCATGATGTGTCCCATTGCCCACAGTTAAAAGTGCCACAGAGGGGATGCCTCCAGTTCCCACTAAGGAGCAAGCAGAGCAGGGAAGGAAGGGAAGCTGCCTGCATCTGTGATGCACCAGGGAAGCACAAGTTCCAGTGCCTGAGCTGTGTCCTTACTAGCATATCACATCAAAGGAGCCTGCTGGTTCACCCCTTTGTAGCAAAGGCTATGTTGGAGGCTTGCTCCCTGTGAAGCAGGTATGAAATTAAACCCAAATTTTGTTATTCCTGTGTTTACCTGAATGAGGAATGTGGATGTAAGGATGGAGGTACTCAGTAAGGGAGAACCAGGCAGGAACAGGAGCAGAAACATTACACTTGGCTGATACTCACAATCTCTTGTCCTTCTTCAAGGAGCTTTCCCTGGAAAAACAGCAAATGCTGAAGATTCTGGAAGAAAACGAGAGCCAGGTCCCACCTCCAACCAGCCCCAGCACGGAGCAAAGCCCCATCTGGGGACTGCACTGCAGCCTGCAACAGATTGAAGAGAAGATGCAGCAACTTCTGCAGGAGAAACTCCTGGCAGAGAAAAGGTGAAGTGGGGAAAGAGAACACTTCTGCTCAGGCTTAGTGGTGCTGAATGATGTGACTGTCTGCTGACTTGTTTTTTGGTTGCCAGCATTGGACAAATCTGGAAGCTTGTCTGGTTCCAATGGCAGGAGTTCAGGTTACAAATCCTTCAAAGGAGACAGAGTGAGGCAGGGCAGCTGAACTTGGTCCCAGTTGGGTCTGTTCCTTTCAAACCAGGACTTGGGCATGTGAAGGTGTTCTTGGCCTGTCCATAAGGAGTGTTTGGTGCTCCTGGGCCTCATGTGGGAGTTGAGAATGTTCCATTTAAGAACTGTCCACCTGCTTTCTCCAGCAATGCCTGTGTTACTGGAATGAAGCACACAGAGCTCCTGTTAGTGTCTCTTTGCTCTGGGCAGTCAGGTAGCTGAGCATGCCCCATCATGATACTGAGCTCCTTTCCTTCCTGTGGGTTGTGTTTGGGTGGGAATGGTCATCTTTGTTTGCTGTGCCGTGCACCAGGATGAAGGAGAACGAGGAGCGGTCTCGAGCACTGGAGGAGGAGCGGGAGTTTTACTCTTCCCAGTCGCAAGCGCTGCAGAACTCGCTCTCGGAGCTGACTGCAGAGAAGCAGCAGGCAGAGAGAGACCTCAAGGTATCCCCTGCATACGTCATATATTGCTGTCCCTGGGCTCAGAGTGCTTCTGTTTTCTCTTTCAATTCATTCCCTATCAAGCCAAACTCTTGGTTTTATTTAGTTTTCACATTTTGGTCATAAATCTTCATTAGCTGTGCTTCATATTGCCAACTGTATCCTGGCCTGCATCCAAAGCAGAGTAGCAGGCAGGGCGAGGGAGGTGATTCTGTCCCTCTGCTCCACTCTGGTGAGACCCCACCTGCAGTGCTTCATCCAGCTCTGGAAGGACATTGATCTGTTGGAGTGAGTCCAGAGGAGGACCACCAAGGTGCTAGGAGGGCTGGAGCACCTCTCCTGCGAAGACAGGCTGAGAGAGTTGGGGCTGTTTGGCCTAGGGAAGAGAAGGCTCTGAGATGGAAACTTTGTAGGAATTTTTACAAGGACATGTAGCGATAGGACAGGTGAGATTGGCTTCAAACTGAAAAAGGAGACGTTTAGATTAGGTATTACAAAGAAATTATTTTATTCGAGGGTGGTGCGACATTGAAACAAGTTTCTTAGAGACATGGATATTCCATTCTGGAAGTGTTCAGGACCAGACTGGATGGAGCTCTGAGAAACCTGGTCGAGTGACAATCATCCTTCCCCATGGCCAAGGGGTTGGAATGAGATGATCTTTAAGGTCTCTTCCTACCCAAAGCACTATGATATCATGGTAATACATGAAATTGCTATCTTATATCTATGTAGTACTACTGTTTATTTTTGTATCCTGAAGCCTGATTAATCCATTCAGTGCAAGTCTTACTTTGCTACTGTGAAAGCATAATCTATAGATGGAGGGAAGGAAAAAAAGTGAAAGAGGAAAGTAGAAACAATCAAGAATAAAGATAATTTCAAATAAATGCAAATATGGATGTTGCAGAACTGAGCAGACATCTTTCTTCCTCACTTGTGCTCAGAAAACCAACCTTAAAACTTTTAAATCTTCAGTAACCTCTGCAAGAACTTGGGTTCAAAAGCAGAGGAATTCAGCTGAGGGACCATCCCTCTTTTGTAACAGACAATATATTAATCTGTGCAAAGGTAACTGGACAAATATGGTCTTTTATTTAAATCTAAACAATGTAAAGGTTATGTTAATAATTGGCTGTTTGGCACTCAAACTTCTTATACAAATATTTTGTGCAAAAAAAACCCAAACCCTGAGTTATTTTTTCCTGAACCTCCAATATTTTCTTATCTTGTAACCTTCTACTTGGCCAAACTAAAGCTAAGTTGACCTAAGCTGTGTAGCCCTTCTCATTTGCTAAACTAGTACAGTATTTCTAACTTCTCTTGTGTTTTGTTTCTGAAACTGAGCACTGTGCATCCCTTTGACTGCCTTTATCTCAAGTCTGTCTCAGCTGGATTGATGTCCTTCTGTTCCTGCTAAGCTGCAAGTGCTTGCATTAGCACAAATTCATGTGTTGAAATACCATCTCTGATTCCATATGGTTTATGCAATGGGAGGAAAACTGTGAAAAATTAAGTCAGAGTAAAGGAAAATTACTGCCATAGTCTGGGCTTCAGATTCTGTCTGAAGACATGAGAAATGCCTTTATATTGCCTTGAAATATTTCTAAGGTTTTCCATCACTGTTGTCTTTTCATTTTCATCCATGGCAAGTCCTTCACAGACCTTGTGAGTTACCAGGATGTTTACTGAGAAATAAGCTGTTTTCCAGCAATACTTATTTTCTTCCTCAGGCTGAAGTGAAGGTACGCATGGATCTGGAGAAGAGACTGAGAGAGGCTGAGGAAGCCTTGCAGAGCTTGGAGCAAGGCTTAAATTCTCTGAATTGCAACAAGGAGAAAGAGAAGAAGATGAAAGCAGATGTCAGTAACTTGAGAAGTAAGTTAGTCATCCATGCTTTCTACTGATGAGCAAACTCAAGAGAGGAAATATTTTTACATATCTTCCTAGCTACACAAAGAAGATTCCAAATTAGGAAAGCTGCAGATAAATGTGGTCTCTCTCTTTTGTACCTCCACCAGACCTTCCCTTTGAGGAGCCATAACGTGCTGTGCAGGTAGTTGGTGTTTTGCCTCCAAAGGAGGCTGAAATTATTCCAGCCTCTCAAAGGAGCATGAAATTATTCCAGCCTTCTCTCTTGGGTGGAAGGCAAACCTAGAGATGAGCAAATATTTTCCAAAATGTCAAACAGGGAAGCTGTAGCAGAACTATAAAAACTGACTGCTGACTAGGTCTGTGTTATATGGAGTCCTCTCATTCCCCTCAAGGCTTTCTCAGCCTTGGTTAAAAGAATATCACCAGTTTAAGGAGGTCCGTGGTTGCTGTAGCAACATGCTGGTGGGTGACCCAGAAGGTGAAGTTTGGATCTTTACTCAGAGCTGAATCACAGCATCAGCTCAGCACTGCAGTGCAGCGGTCAGGTGTAAGACAGATGTTCCTCACAAGTTATCCCTGTTTCTTTGCCTTTTTTTGGTTTGTTTGGGTTCTCTTGGGGGGCATCAGCTTCAATTGAGTCAAATCTTGCTTGTTTTTCATGCCCAAGTTATAGTGCAGGGAGAATTGTTTATTAAGCTGCTGAGTCTTGGGGCATTACCCTGGCATTTGAGTCAGGCTTGGGAACTGACATAAGCAGCTTCAATTGAGTCAAATTTTGCTTGTTTTTCATGCTCAAGTTATAATGCAGGGAGAATTGTTTATTAAGCTGCTGAGTCTCTACAGTTAAGGCTTCATTTCAGTGAAAGGTGGATGTACTGGGTCAATACAGACAAGTCAAAAAGTCCTGTGGTATTCTGAGCACTGTTAGGTAAATAGGGAAAATAAATTTATAAATAGTTTTATATCTATTCACATACTTATAATTTATACATATTTAAATGAAAAAAAGCATTATCAGTAGTTTCTACATAAGATTTCTAAATGGGGAAAAACAGTCATGATTCTGAGCTTCATCTCATTGGCTCAGAGCCATGGTGAGAAAACAGAACTAAAGTGGATGTGTTGAGCTCAGCATTCAAGCAGAGCGTCAGAGGGCATAAATGAGTAACTGGTACTGAATGTCTCCTGATATTTCCAACCTTAGATTTTGGGAGATGTTTTTTTCAAAAGAGTAAAAATGTACTGATGAGTAGAGCACTAGAGAAAATAAGGGACCAGCAATGTTTCCCATAACATTAGTCCCAGTACAGATTGCCTCAGTCCTTCCTAGTGGTTCCTGCAGCTCTGCCCTGCCCTTTATAGAAGAGTTTGGGCACATTAGCACATGATGCTTTTGAACAGCAAAGGACCAGCAACAGGCAGGAGGACAGCAAGACTGGAATGGCAGAATAGACATTGGTCAGACCATAAGAGGGGAAATGGGCCAGGAAGAGCAGTTTGTGTGGCAGATCAGGGCAGAATAACGTCAGAGTTTTGACATGGGGCTTTTCTTGGAGCCCATAATATATGTAACTATGTGCTAGTATTTGCTATGCTATTAAGGAATCCCCTACCATGTTTGCCTGTGCTAGTGTTGCCAACACCTTCCTTTTCCAGTTAGACCTGACTGGTTTTAGAGGTCCTTCAAAGAAAGTATGATGAGCAAGGCTTCAGAATTGAGAAGTTTTATCACAGTATCAAAGGCTTTTGGCAGTTGAGTTGGGAGCAGTTGTGAGAATTACTGATGTGGAATGGATGGCTGCAGTTCTTTCTGAATTTGAGTATGCATTTGTTAGGAACTGGAGGTTTTTGTCACTTTGAAAATGAACATTTGAAAACGTTCTTTCTGATGATATTCTGGAGCTTTATGGATTGTTGTTCATCAAGGTCATCATTACCTGGCTCAGCCCATCAACGAGTGCAGTCCCTTGTGACTGGTTCCTTCCTTGGAGTGTCTGCCCCATCACTGTAACAGTGGTGGCTTTGAAAATGAACATTTGAAAATGTTCTTTCTGATTATGTTCTGGAGCTTTATGGATTGTTGTTTATGAAGGTCATCATTACCTGGCTCCAGCCCATCAATGAGTGCAGTCCCTTGTGACTGGCTCCTTCCTTGGAGTGTCTGCCCCATCACTGTAACAGTGGTGTTCTCTCCCCAGAGTTCTTTGAAGAGTGCATCCGCAATGCTGAGCTGGAGGCCAAGATGCCTGTGATCATGAAGAACTCCGTGTACATCCACAAGGCCGCCACTCGCCGCATAAAGAGCTGCCGCTTCCGCTGCCGGAGAACCAGCACTTCCTGGAATGACAGTAGGTGTCGGGCAGCCTCCTGCTTCATATCCTGCAGGAGCAGATATGTGCCAATGGGGCTGGCAGAACAGTAAAGTCTGCAAATGTTGTTTGTATTTCATGTTCCTTAGCAGCAGAATGGAGCCACAGTGCTACTTGTAGCTTCCTTTCTCAGAGCACAGGCACTGAGCCTGTGTACTTGTTGCCCATTTCTTTATAGATGTTGAAAGCTAAACTTCTGTGATGGTCCTGGGCCCTAAAAACATATTTAAATATGACTTCATCAGAATGCCTAATCACAGACTGAGTTAGGCTCAGACATGTTGGTCATATGGCTCGTGAACTCTAGTGAAGCTTTATTTTCAGTTTGTGTCCCTGGTGGAGAGTGCTTACCTTTCTGTGCTGTTCTTGTTTCAGTGAAACAGTCACAGTCCTTCATCTTCTCACATGCAGAAGCTGAAAACATTGAAGAGCTGAAAGAAGCAGCCAAAAGACTGAGCCGGGACCAGCGCTTTAGGAAAACTATCTATCAAATCATGAGGTCACAAAAGGATTCTGCTTCAGGGGACAAAAAGTGACTCTTCCTGGGAGGGGGCTTCTGAGATCAACCTACCATTCAGCTCTGCAAAAGTTACAGCCTTGGGCATGAGGCTCAGAAGGGAGATCTGGCATTTGGTGGGGAAGGTGGGGGACAGTTGTGTGTAGGCAATCCCTTCAGTTATTGGCTTTGCTTTAGTTTGAGTGCTCCCTGCAGCCCGGCAGACCTTCTCTGCTGATCACTCCAGACCTGTTTGCTTCAGCTGCTTGCATTAAGCCATGTTTGGCCAAGGTGCCACAGTCAGTGTTAAAGTGAACTAGAGACCGTAGCTTAGGAGGAGCCTCTCCTTTCTTTCCCTGTCTAGTCTGTCTGCCAAACACAAGTGCTTTGAGGAAACCTTTAGCAGTCTATGTTCTCGCTAGTGTAATCTCCTCAGCTGAACCCAGCTCACCCTGTTCTGCCTGATCCCCTCTAGGGGTTGGCTCGCTGCACACCCTCAGTCAATCAGCACTTCGGTGGGGCACATTTCCTGAAGACTGCAGCAGTCACAGCCTCCCTAGCACAGGCAAAAGTATCAAACACAGGGCCAAACTTTTTGTCTTGATGCTACATCATTTCAAGCAAACAGCAACAACACAAGGTGAAGACAACAGGAGGATGCTGTGGATTTGGGTCCAAGGAGGATCATGTACAGAGAAGAGCTTATAGGTAACTCAAAGGCATTGATGCAAGCTAGAGGGAGGATTCTGTTGTGTTGATGGTGGGCAGAACATTCCAGGGCCACCTTTGCACATTTTTTGCACTGGGACATGTAGCTGTGTCAGAGCTAGGGAAGGTGTTAGCTATTGGCTGTCTATTCCTCAGTGTGAAGAAGCCTTTGACTCAGTTTTGATGGCTTCCTCAAGACCTCTGTAAAATGAGTTGGAGGGCAGGAGGGTGAGGACTGTCCAGCAACAAAACCCACTGCCACTTCAGGCAAGCTGTAAGAGCTGTGGAAGAGGAGTCCAGGAGAGGAGTTACTTTGTTGTGGAGCCCCTTGCAGCCTCCCCCACCTATTTTGAGCAAGCAGCTGGCTAATAATTACCCATGCTGTAGGAACAGCACTGCCTGGTGCTTGCAGACCACAGGATAAGCACACTCGGAGTGACGCCCTGTTTTCTCCTGCATATTAATTGGAAAATAAAGAAATAGACAATACAAAGGTGAATAAAGTAAGCAGCAGAAGTACAGTTAGGGGTTAGGGGAATGGTAAACTGCAGACTTACTTTACCTTTCATGGCATCAGGGCCCCCGGGTATTATGTATGTGCAGTGACACATAGGTAGTTACTTGCTACTGTCCTGTTCAGACTGTGACAGTGTCTTCTCACAGCCTTTGGCTTCTAGCCACCTACATAATCCCCTATAAATTTAGTGTTGTTCCTAGGGAGAAGTCAAGGATGAGGCTGGGAAGCAAACTTTGGCTTACCAGCCAGCGGAGAGTGGTTAATGCTGGGTGGAGGAACATCCTGTGACAGTGCTCCTGGATGGAATCACTCTAGTGTGACCAGAGGAAAAGCTTTGAAAGCACAGCTTGTACTTCCCATTTTAGTCAGTTACTGACTAGTATCCTTCTGCCAGGCACTGGGATGTTTCATCCAGTCAGAGGATCCAGCTCTGAAGGAGGATGTTTTTGTGCTAATGGGTGATACAGTAGGAGAAGATTGTTTCCATCCTTCCTCAGCATACCTGATCCTTCTGTGGTTTATCTGGTTGTGTTTATATGCTAGAAAGCCACAAATGAATTCTTGCTCCTACAAGGCTGAAGGGCTGTGTCAAAGCAATACAGAAATGTTTTTTTCCTTTATGCTGCTCCCAAATCATCTCTGGCTATTTTCCAGTTACAAGGTCTGTATTAGGTGATGCTGGAAGGGACAGAATAAAGGATAGCTAGGGAATGCATCTGTAATTCGGGCAGTTAGAAAAATCACCCTGTGGCCTGTGAATACAGCATTTTTATTCTATTACCATGAAAGCCACAATATCTGACTCTTCAGAAGTATTGTATGCAGGAGGTAGCCACATCAGGTCTTCCTTTACTGTGCATATTGACAGCAATAAGTAAATAAAAGTTATGCTGACACTAGAATGAATTCCTGTGTGTTCTTCATACACTGTCACCAAAATGATGTTAAATTGTCTCTGTAGGAGCTCAAACAAATCATTGTGACACTCTCATTTACTGCCAGCACAGTTCCTCTGCTTCACTGAGTTGTTGTGTTACGTGCTTAACATCACCTCTCAGAAGGATTGGCTCTATGTAAAAAGCTTTCACCCTCGCTACCACTTCCACTTGTAAATTGTGCATAAAGTTCAAGCAGAATGTATCACATCTGAAGTAAAAAGCTCCCGCTTGCTTACCTGAAGTCAGTGAACAGCTCTGTGTGTAACCAGCAAGATGTGCCCTGAGCCACCTGTGAGGAGGTGCTTTCCATCAGTCATCCCCTGCTGCACAGGGTTCTGCTACCCTGTAATCTCCCCGGCAGAGCCAGCATGGAGCTGTGTCTGTGCACCACAGCATCTAAATTAAGTGACTGTCTCCTTTCAAAGGACACAGAAATTACTGATTCCAATTTTCTCTGCGTATTTTTAACGCAATGCAGTAACAGGAAGATGGCTTAGGAAGCTCACCTTTGTTCAAATAACTTCCACTAGTAACCCTAGATTGTTTTCTTCTGCTGGGAAAACTGGGAAGGAGGAATAACTTCCTCCAATGAGAAGAGTTCTCTAACTTGTTCTCTTGTGTCTGAGGATAGAAGAAAATACAGGATGGTTTGCATCTTTAAGATTTCACTTCAGGAGTTGCAGAACACCAGACTGGCTCTGAAAAGCCTGTGGCCATTCTTCAGCACCTCTGCCTTCTGGGTAACACGAGGTAACTTCTTTTCTCTCTGAAGATGCTCCCTGTTGTTCCTGTCAGAGACACTGCCAAATGTGAAGACTGCTGATTTCCTCTGCATTGTCTTGGCTACTTTTCACAGTGTGAAGGATGGATGCTGTTAAAGGTTCAATTAGCTGATTGAAGGGTTAACTTCATCCTCCTTGTAAGATGTATAGGCTGTTTCAGTCCCTGGTGAAGAAGAGTGGTTCCTGCTGGAGTGCCCACCGCCCCAAGGCTTTGCTCTTGCACAGAAGTTAATGACAGAGAAAGAAAGGCAGCCCTAGCCCTGTTGCCCCGGTCTGTGCTGCTTCTAAAGCAGAGAAAGGGGATAAGAAATGGAAATTGCCCTTGGGGTCAGAAGTGATAATAAAGGATAAATGGTTGCTGGTGCATGTTGTGCATTGCTGTGCGTGGCACACAAGTGACATAAGCTGGTAGCAGTTTTCAGCAACAAAGTGTGGCATTTTTTTTAGCTCCAGATAGTAGGCAGGCTTTCTGCTTGGGACTTAGTGTAATATTAGTGTATCTCTATGGAAATAAGATGATGGATTTCCATAGGAATAATGTGTTTTGAATCTTTTCAATGCAGTCCCTTTTTGTGGCTGTTAGAGGGACAGAAGCTGGATAATTTTGTATCCAGTAAGGAGAAGTTTGCTCCTGGGAAAGTGGCCCATGTCTGAAAGTCTTGCCCAAGGCAGGGGCTTGCCTGGACACTCGGTGCTCCTTGGTGATTGTATGCCTGTGAAGGATACATTCATTCTGGCATCTTCTTCCTCATGCACAAGGACAACTCTGCAGTTTTTTGCCTAGTCTGTGTACAATTTTTTACCACCTAGTCCAAGCATGGATTTGAATGGGTGAAATGACCAAGCAAGAGGAATTATTGTAGTGAGTCACCTGAGCTGGATCTGAGGTGGCCTGTTGGGGTGACAGTCACCATGAGTTCTATGTATGGTTTGTTGAACAAAGCAGTGCAGTGCATTTCTGTGTACTGAGACAACATCCCTTTTTCTATATTAAGTAACACTTCTTGGTGCAGGCTTATCTCCACAGCCAAAATGCAGAGCCACTGTGTATGGTTTGTTGAACAAACCAGTGCAGTGCATTTCTGTTACTGAGACAACATCCCTTTTTCTATATTAAGTAACACTTCTTGGTGCAGGCTTATCTCCACAGCCAAAATGCAGAAAGATCCAGTTAAGTACTCAGGTCTGTGAGTCCTTCCTGCTCTTTGCAGGATGCACTGTAGTGCTTGAACCAACATACAGATTGTGGGGTTTATTCTAGTATTGGCAGATCTGGCACTTCAAAGGAAGAAAAATTATAAAGGACATTTTGTGGGGGTAACAAAGGCACCTTTTGCTAACTCAGAGGTGTTGCAGAAAATAACCCAGCAGGGTCATGTGCTCTTATTTTGCTGTATTCTGAAAAGTGCAAACTTTGCATTGCTTAAATTACTAAGTGAACTCTGCTTATCCTTGAGTTCTTCTTGACTGCATCCCTGCCTCAGACCTCTCTGTGGAAAGCACCCAAGAGTGGCAGGATATGTCCTCTCCTAGAGCTGCTCTTCTTATTGGTTTCTTCATCATTAATTCTGGGGTGGGAGAGAGCTCCCTGTTCCTCCACACATCAGTGGCTGCCCACAGAAGGTACAGCCCCTGCCTCTCCAACATGAGGAAAACAGGTTCTGTTTTTTGTTGTGGGGTTTTTTATCTAAGTTTTGCAGAACAGGAATTAATATTTTTACATCTCCATGTTAATAACGGGGTTTGGAAACAAGCTATTTGGGGTGAGTGTGAGCAAACTGACTCCCTGCAGTGGAATTAGGCCCTGTTCAAAAGAGGTTCTGGCTCTCAGCCTTGATGGAGTAAGGCTGGAGGTTTGTGTCAGTTACTGCTGAAAGCACAGCCATGATCAGGGCCATATGCCTTTGGGACAGTTCACAGAGCATTCAAGGTCCCTCATGATCACGGCCATAGCATGTTTGGCAGAACTCTGTCTTTGGGACAGTTCACAGAGCATTCAAGGTCCCTGGGTGGCAGAGATGGGCTGTGCTTTTAGGTACACTAATCTTACCAGCAATAAAAATGACATAGCAAGAAGGTGAGAATGCTGTGGCTTTTGTAGCAAAGTAGAGGAGCAGGCTTTTAATCCAAAGATGCCAGAGATTGATTGGATTGTAACTTGCTTGGGAGTAGCCGCTGTTTTAATTTCTCCTTTCCTTTCCTGATTATGCCAAAGGCACACTGCATGTTTCTTGCAGGCAACGGGAATGTGAGGAGGCTCCAAGAGGAAGGAGATTGAAAGGCAGGAGTGTAGCAGGTGTGACTAAAAGCTGGAGCACTGCCAACAGTCGCTGTGCTTCAAAAACAAAGTGTGCGCTATGGAAAGTGCATTTCAATAACCTGAAGACAGCTGTTCAATTTCCCAGTAAGCAAAAAGCTTACTGGATCCAACCAAGGAGTCCAGCCCCAGGTGCTCAGAGGAAAGGAGTCTGCAGGTAAGGCCCTTTCCCCCTCTCCCCAGTTTACATGAGGTGTGCCCTGTGATGCAGGAATTTGATTCCTGTGATTCAGGGATACACTTATGGTTATACTTTGTGAGTAGCTGTGTTTACACAGAGGCTGCTCAGGGCAGCTGAAAAGGTGCTGGAAATGTTTTGGGTATCTAAACATGTACTGGAAGATATTGGAAATTCCTGTAACTCTTGAGGGATTTGGATGTTCAGAAACTCCTCAGGCCTGGAGCAGCAGCCCTCTAGGTCCCTCTCTGATCAAGTGTGTGATATTTCAGAGAGATGCTGCAACCCACGAAGGGATGTGGGCAATGGCAGTGAAGGCTGCTTTTCCTTCTGCTTCTTCTCCCTCTCCTAAATTTCTCTTGCAGTGGTTTTCTCCCTCACACAAATACAGATCAAGTGTGGTTTAATGTGGAACTTATTTTAGATTAAGAGAAAGAATGTGCAGGCAGAGCTATATTTCCTGCCTGTGTAGGGGGAACGTGGGCTCTAAAATGAGGACAGAAAATTCTCAGCCATTCAAAGGTATCACAGATGGGTAAAATAATTGTGCTTATCACATATATCAAGCATGGATAAGGGGGAGTAGTGGGATACACTGTATTTGAAGCTTGAAGCCTTGCAGTAAGAGAAAATGAATTTGGTGAAGGAAATGTTTTATAGTCCCTTGCCGATGCTGAAGGAAGTAGAAGAGAAGGTGCACACTTAGTCCACTTCAGCATGTGGCTGGCTCCTGGTGCTGGCATGGAATTAGTTTTGATGGCTGCTAGCTACACAGAAAATCCCTCCAGCTGTGACCACCTGCTGCAGAGTTGTAGCCTTGTTCAGAAACAGTGGTGGTGGCTGTGGATCCAGAGAGCACCCTCAGACCTGGATGCCCCATAGGATGTGCATGGTACCTCTCCTGACACTGACACTCACAGCGTCTCCACGTCATGGGAGCCTTTGGCTTCCCCTTGCAAGTGGGCATGAGCTCAGCTGGCAGCTCTGCTGCCACCCAGGAGCAGAGAGCCCCATGCCCACAGCTTGAGCTGCTCCTGCCATCTCAGGCCTGTTGGATTCCAGCATGCTGAGGCAGACCTTGCCACCAAGATTTCAGCAGCAGAATGGAAGGAAGCAGGTTAGTCAGCCAGCCTTAGGAAAGGCTACTGGGAACAGGGGTGGGAGCTACTGTATTCCCTTCCTGAAGGGAGAAGAGCATCTCCTGATCCTGGCCCCCACAGTGCTCTGCTGTGAGCTCCTGGTTCAGCTCCTAAGTGCAGCCTGGCTGTCAGAGGAGCTGTGCGTGGGCTCTGCTTCATCCCCAGACCAGGGAACCAGAGAAGGACAAGAAAGAGCTGTTGCTTTTCGGGTAAATGGGAAAGAAAGATCTGTCCTACCAGGGAAGCAAAGAAGAGCTGTTGTGGGTAGAACTCTGCAAAGAAGTGAAGTATCCAGAAGACAGGAGGGAACAGACCTGAAATACACTTCTGGGCCTTGGTTCTGGTGCACTGCCCATAGCCAGAGTTTCTATCCTGTCTGTGCTTGAAGAGGATCACAGAGCTAGCAAAAAAATACTGCTTTACACAGTGAGTATACACCCTGCCTTGTCTATCCAGCTCTCCCTAGCTTTGAACAGGATTGCAAGCAGGCTGTTCCTCACCTTCCCCTCCAGGCTGCTCCCTCAGCTTTCTGTTTATTTTTCTTTGCTTAACTGGGTCTGTCTCCACGAGGTGGAAATTAGCCTCTCCCTGGTGGGGTTTGCAGCGCCCAGGAGCAGTGGGAGGACAGTTCTGCCATGGTGGGGATGGGGGGCTGCTCTCTTTGGAGTGCAAAGGAGGTGAGACACGCCCTCATAGCTGCTCATGCTTTTTTCATAACACTGGCTTCTTGTCTAGAAATATAATTCATCCTGATCCAAAGTCTTTCTGACTTGAGCATTTCATGTAGAAAATGCACAGCGATGGGCAGTGAACACCCCGGGCTCTGAACCAGGCACCTTCCCTCCCTCCTTCACAGCCCACCTCACATGTGGCTGTGAGCCACATGTGGGTACAGAGCTGGGCAGGGTGGTGCTGGT